AACTAAAAATATTTTTGACTCCTCTTTTAAAATTAATTTCAAAAATAAGCCCTGAAAAAGACCAAAATATTCGGCCAACATAAAAAAAATATTCGGACACTCTTATTAAAAAAAAATTTAAAAAAAATCGGGCCTTTTAACAAAATAATGAATAAATTTTCTGGTTCCAAAAATTAAAATAAGTAAAAATAACCCTCTTTTTAAAATAACTTAATTAAATAAGCACTTGGCCATGTTTAAAACAAAACACTTTAAAACACGTTTTTGGCTTTAGTGGTAATAAAAATCTCAACCAAAGCTCCCATATACCACTTTGTAACACCCTAAAAATTCTTTTCCTTTGAAATACCAGTTTTGCCCTTTTTAAAATACGAAATAGGAAAATCTAAGACATCACTGCCACCGTGAAAACGACTGAGGCAAATATCAAAGACACACAACGGAAGACTATCTTTTAAAAATCACTCAAAACAGGTCAACTTAAAAGTCAAACCAAAAGAATGTAAAGTCAAACAAAGTTAACCTACAACTTGGAACCATTGTAGGCCCTTAAAACCGAACAATACTGAAAACATTTACGTTAGTCTCATGAACATAATAAAATAAATAATATTCAAAGCAAATAAAACACATCATATTCCTATATATGGAAACTAAGCATGATTCGCTCTTCACTCATGTCCATCATGAATATGCTTCATCACCTGAAAAACTTCTCTCTACTTGTCCCCACTACTCGCCATTAGAAATGAGTCGTCGTAGGGTCAAGGTAAAGACAAGGCCAAACAAACATACAACACACAATCAGCAATGTTGAGTACATAAGCATAACTAAAACACACTAACATGCTTTCATCCTATCAACACACAACTTACCTTGTTGCACTTGTAAACAAGCATACAAGACATTCAACACTTAACTAGACAAATACAAATGTCCATTTAATTTGATTACGCATCGAAAGGGTTTCCTCCTAACCTGCCCCAATAAAGGGGTACTAACACGGGAGCTAACTGTGCTAGTATAAAAGAAATCACTCGTAAGTGGCGGAATTCCTGCGCATAATAAAAAGGAATATACAGCGTCCTGTACTCCTAGTAGAAGTTATGGTCAAATTTAAAGTTGCACAACTCTGCCCATATGTTCATACTCAAGGTATACACGTTCCAAGAGTTTTGGTGCGTAATCTCTTCCACTTTACGTTATATACATACTATTATACTTGGTGATGACTCTCAAACCATAACACAATCAAACATTATAACTCATTCAAGCAATCAAACATACCAATTTAATTCTTGAATAATTAGTGACTACATAAATTTAATGTTGAATCCTTTTTAAACTACCTCGGAGTTAAATAACACCTTAAGCGCATAAATTGTGGAAAATCCTATCCCTCGGTGTTAGAAACACCTTAAATGCACTTAGGCACCAAAATATAATTTAATCCTCGTGTACATAGATACTTAAATAGATCTTTCCTCATGCTTATAGTATCAATAAAAAATCATATGAACCATAATAAAATTTCCTTTTCATACTCCAAACCAAATTAAATATTTAGTTTAATTAAACATGCTCTCTATCAAGTCAACAATAAAAGTGTGGTTCATAATCAACATGCCAACATAATTGATTCCAATCACCAATTCATCATAAATCATTCATACATCACAAATCATTCACCAACATCAATCATATAACAAATTCCAACCAACACCTATCATGATACTACTTGGAATTAATTAAACAAAGCCTAGCTAGCATGTTTCTACAAATTCAAATAATTACCAAGTACGCAAACATACCTTGTATATGATCTCAAAATCGCCACAACTAAATAAAATCACTCACTTAGAAACCTCCTACAAACCAAAATTACAAAGAGGCATTAATACTTATTCCACACAAATTTCCAGCAATATATACTCTTTAAATCACTCATAAACCCTAAAAAACAAGCTGAAATTTAATTTAAAACACTTACTTTTACTCTCAATTAATGGGTAATTAAAAATCCTTTCAAGAAACATAATTATAGCTTATATATAAAAATTTCAGCTTTATTAAATCATTCAAAATTGCTGTAATTGTGTATTAAAACACTTATTTCAATAATTTAAATCACCCATAAACAATTTCCATCAATATACATAAACTTAAAAACCTAGGGTTTATAATTTGGGAGTTTTTAATTCAAAACCAAATCTGAAAATTTATATACAAAATACTTATTATCAAACATCATAAAAAATCATCACAAAACCCAAAAACAATAATTAGATCAAGACTAGATTTAATTAAAATCAAAAGAATAATTTTTTTTTGTTCGAACACCAACAGCCCGACACCACAGCAGGGCTGCTGTCGCGCACCTGCTGATGGTGCCGCTGCTATCGCCGGTGTGTGTGGGTGGTGATGTAAAAAAAAATAAAGGGGAAGGGGAAAAAATAAGAGAAAAGGAGAGAAAATAAGATGAGAGGGAAAGAGAATTACCTTTGGGTATTCTCCACCTTGGGCAAAGTTTAATTTGCCCATGTGATGGGTATTTATACTCCCTTTCTAAAATCCTCCTAGACTTAAATTCCCTTTTTACTCTTAATGATCTCTTTCCTATTCAAGCTAGTATTTTGACTTTCTTTAAAAACTCGTTGACTTTAAAATTTCCTTTTATAAAATAATATGTCCCAAAGTTTCCAAATTATGAAATAAAATATTTTCAAGATTCTTAAATAATTAAAAATAAAATTTTAATTAAAATAATTCTTTTTTTAAATTAACGAAACACCATAAATAATTCATTTCGAATTATTTAAATAATTTAAGAAATACTTATTTAAATTATAATACGTATAAAAATATGGGGTATTACACAGGTCCACCCCTCCCCCACCCCCCCCCCCCCCAAATATGTACTATTTTGTTGATGTGTGTTTCATGATTAATATACATGCATGTTCACTTTAATGCATGAAACCTGCAATTTATTTACACTTCCTCCATTTCAAATTAGTTGACTCGCTTCTTTTGTCATGCTTGCTTTATAATGAAAAAATTCACACGTAAAAAATTGGAATTATTAATAAGTAAAAGTTATAAAAGCTAACATTTACAAAAGAACACACATACACACATTTAGAGAACTCTAACATGATCTCACGTGAATAAGGGTTTTATTACCTATAACTTATAAAAGCTAGTCAAAGTAGAGTTTTCGGCTAGTGTCAAAAGCCAAAATATGAAAATTAATTTGAAATGGAGGAAGTGTGACTATGAAAATACATGAAATTATAAAAGGCAATGTGGATAAGATCATTCAAAGATACGGAGGTGCAAGAAAGCTCGTGGATAATGGTCTGACCACTGCAATCTGGACTCATCCGTGGGTGCCTTCGTTCCCTTCTTATCGGGTTCTACCAATCCAGCCTCGTCTGGATAGCAAACCGTATGTAGTGGGAAAAATAATTAGAAATGGAGAGTGGATTGTGGAGGCTATTAACTCCCACTTTTTGCCCTGGGAAGCTGGAGAAATCTTAAAAAATTCCGATTACTTGATTTTATGGAGAGGATGTATGGACTTGGCATTATACAAAGAATGGTGAGTTTTCAGTTCGAAGTGCATTACTACATCGAGATGAAAGCAAAGAATGTTGGAGTGATCTTTGGAATCCTAAGGTGCCACCCAAAATTAAACTTTTTGGGTGGACAGCAATTCATAATAGTGTTGTTGTAAGGGGTGCGCTTGTGAAGCATGGTATGTGCGTAGATAACATTTTCCCTTGCTATGGTGAGGTGGAAGAGACCCTGATGCACACATTAACGCCCTGTTCTTTTAAGTTGTTCTGCTCTACTGTGTCCTGCCCTACTCTATTTTGCTTAAAAATAATAATTAATATTTAATAATAATAATAATAATAATGATAATAATTAATATCTAATAATAATAATAATAATAATATTTAATATTTAATACTAATACTAATAATTAATATTTAATATTTGATAATAATAAAGTATCTTATAATAATAATGCGGTAATAATAATAATGCGATGATAATAATAATAATAATAATAATAATAATAATAATAATAATAATAATAATAATGCGGTAATAATAATAGTAATAATAATAATGGCCTGGTTGCGAGCGGTCCCGATAGTAGGTTTGGGTCAGACTATGAATTGTAAGACTTACCGTTGTGTTCTTTGCTACCGGTTGGGTGTTCCTTTGTTCTCCGTTTCGACACCGTGTTCTGCTTGCTCAAGGGTTTTTTATGGGGATATTTATGGGGATCATGCAATGTCTTGTGCTGGGATGGTGGGTATAGGTTAACGTTGGGTTGACTAGAAGGAACGACGGGGCTCTTCGACCAACAGATGTGTTGCTTTATTCCTAAGATAGAGGCTTTGATGTATGTGTTGACTTGACGGGGTCTTCTCCTTTGACTCAATCTGGGTTGTCTGACTTCATTCCTGGTCGTGTTGTGTCGGCTGCGGCTCAGCGAAAGCGGTACAATTACGGGGCGCGTTACAGGGCTATTGGCTATGGTTTTCTTCCTTTCTCCTTTTTCTTCATTGGGGGATTAGAGAAGGATGTTGTTGGGTTGCTGAAGCGGATTCAGGCATTCGCTAGGATTCAGGATATCGGTGCTCAAGCAGCTGCTCACATCTTTAATAGGATCAGGTTCGCTATAGTTAGAGGGGTGGGGGGCCCAGAATGTATCTCGGCTCCCTACCAATTTCTTGTAAATCGATTGACTTTGTAGGTTTTTGTTATTTTTCTATAATAATAATAATTAATGATTAATAATAATAATTATAATTATTATTAATTAATTAATTAATAATGATAATAATAATAATAATTAATTATTAATAATAATAATAATTAATATTTAATAATAATAATTATAATAATGAAATCTGCTCTGCTGACTCCATGGTCTGACTCAATTCCAGCAGGAAGCCCGCATGATCTGGTATATATGTATTACGAAAATTTTCATGTATTTAACTATTGCAAATAATTTAAAACACATAGTATAATTTTTCATCATCAAAATGCTTACCACTGTATTGTCAAACGTGACCATTCATCTAGAAAAAAAGTGCGAAGTAATGCTGATTCAACAAAAATAACAATCCCGTCAAAAAAAAACAAATATAACAATACTTATTTTAAGAAGAAGAAAAAAAAATAACAAAAATAACAATACCACCCACCAAAACCACGTTTTTTGCAAAGTAAGGGAAAAAACAGTGGGGGCAGCCGGCAATCTTTTGTTAAAACCAGTGAACAAAAACTATGGGCAGTTTCCCGGTCACCAAATTAAAAATATCCAAAACCATTTTTCTAAAAACCGCTTAACCGCTCTTTGTATTTCCTCCTTTCTAGTTTCTACCCGTATATTTATCTATTCCTTACCACTCTTCTTCCAAAACTACTCCCATTTTTTCTCTCTCCTCTAAAAACCTGATAAAACCACCTATTTTGTTCAATTTTATGCTCAAAAGTCTAGATTTTCATCATCATCCAGCGTGCAAATTTTATTTTATTTTTGGGTTTCGTTTTTTTTTAGAGTTGCAAATACTCTGACTTCAAAGATTAAATCTTTTTCTTTGTTGTATCTTTAGTACAAATATAATGGAGGGAAGTGGGTTGTCAGGAAGAATATATTCAAATAACGGTGGGGTTGGAATTCTTGGTTTAGAAATGCCATTACATAAACCACCACAAAACACTCCTCAACACCACCTTCAAAACCACCCAAAAGCGGCGGCGTTTAGCCACCGCCACCAACAACAACCACCCCATGAACAACAACACACTCAGTTGTCAATGAAACAACCCACCAATTTCATGCCATACAATAATAATCCCAACCCGAATTTGAACTCGAATCCGAACCCAAATCAAAATTCAAATCCATGTGTCAAACCCAAAATCCAAATGACCCAATTGACCAATAGTGATGATGATGAACCAAGTTGTGCAAATGATCATGAAAACAGTTCATTAGATGGGAAGAGAAAAGGGAGTAGTAATATTTCTCCATGGCAGAGAATGAAGTGGACGGATAATATGGTTAGATTGTTGATCATGGCGGTTTATTATATTGGGGATGAAGCCGGGAATGAGGTGGCTGCTGAGAAGAAGAAACCGGGTGGCGGTGGAGTAGGCGGCGGAGGTGGGATGTTACAGAAGAAGGGGAAATGGAAGTCGGTTTCGAGGGCAATGATGGAGAAGGGATTTTATGTGTCACCACAACAATGTGAGGATAAATTCAATGATTTGAATAAGAGGTATAAGAGGGTGAATGATATTTTAGGAAGAGGGACTGCTTGTAAGGTGGTGGAGAATCAAAGTTTGCTTGAAACAATGGATATTTTGCCGAAAATGAAGGAAGAAGTCAGGAAATTGCTTAATTCTAAGCACTTGTTTTTCAGGGAAATGTGTGCTTATCATAATAGTTGTGGGAATGGAACTAGCGAGGCGACAGCGACGGCAGCAGCAGCAGCAGTGTCCCCTGTTTCTGTTGCAGAGGCACAGCAAAATCATCCGCAGCAGCAGCAGCAGCAGTGTTTCCATTCATCAGCGATTCCGCCGAATAGTTCACACAAACTAGGATTAGGGTCAGAGGATCATGACGATGATGATGAGGACGACGATGATGAAGATGATGAGGATGAATTCGAGGACGAAGATGAGGAGCATGAATTCGAAGGAGGGCCAAGAAAGAGGGCGAGAACTCTCGGAGGCAATTCGTCGAACACCTCACAGGCATTGCAACAATTGAATGGAGAAATGATGGGTATGTTGCAAGATGGGAGTAAAAATTCATGGGAAAAGAAGCAATGGATGAAAACCCATTTGGTTAAATTGGAAGAACAAGGGTTGAAATTTCAAGTTCAAGCTTTGGAATTAGAAAAACAGAGATTCAAATGGATAAAATTCAGCAGCAAAAAGGAAAGAGAATTGGAAAAATTGAAGATTGATAATGAAAGAAAAAGGCTTGAGAATGAAAGGATGATGCTTTTGTTAAGGCAAAAGGAGATTGAATTGGTTGGTGTTGAGCCACAACATCCTTCAAATCCGTCTTGTGTTAGTGCTTGATGATGATGATATTGAAGAATTTAATGTTAATCTAGCTTAGAAAAGCGTTTGTTTCATGGTTAGTTTAATAAAATTATTAGGATTTTACTTTGTAGTGCTGATAATTTATAGAATTTAGTTTTATACTAGTTGTAATAGGATAATTGGTCAGAAAAAATCTTTTAAAAGCATCTTTTTATTACTCTCTAATTTCCTTTAATTATCCTCTAATTCACATAATTATTTAATAATTAAATTTAATTTATAAAAAAACCAACAGGCCCAACCACCAGCCAACCACTCTGTCAGGGGAGATGGAGCAGGGGAGGCTGTTGCGATGGAGGTGCGAAGGTGGTGAATGGTGCAGCAGCGTAGCCTATTTGCTGTCAGGGGATGGCTGCTAGCTAGTGGTAGGGGTGGTGGTTTTTTTTATATATATAAATTAACTTAATTATTAAATGGTCAAGTGAGAGTTAGAGGGTATTAGAAGAAATTAGAGGTTAATGAAGTGAATTAGAGGCACTAGGTTGTCTTTAACAAAAAAAAAAAAAAAAAAAATATCGCATTCGGGTTTTCTTTTGCCAAAATGCTAAAAATCGGGTTTTCTTTTGCCAAAAAGCTTTTAAAAGGTTTTTTTTACAAAATGGTGTTTTTAAAAGGTCTTTTTTGACAAAATTTCCTTGTAATATTAATGATGTTACAGGAATATTGATATTTTCTACGAATGCCTGAGTTGAAAACTTGAGGTGGGACTAAAGATGGCTGTGGGCGTGCTAGGTTTTGCCTCATGCAAGTCCTCGTGCTTTGGGGTTAACTAGACCCAACACAAAAGCTATATGCCATGTACGGATGAAATTTTCAAAGGGTTGGCCACTTGGCCCATGTGTCGGGCTTGAGTGCCTAAGTTAAATATCACTGATTTTAGCGTGTTGGGGTCGTTCGTGCCTTATCTTGTCGTGCTTTTCTTGAATAAAGGTTTGTTTCATAGCCCAAAACGCACAATAATGTGTTGTGTGATTCAGAGTTCGTCACACAAAATAATGTGTCGTGTCGTATTGTGCTTACATCGTTCTCATGCCATGTGCCAGGTTGTGTTGTGCCCTGAGTCGGCCCAACACAATGTCATCTTTAGATTACTGAAGTACTACACTGTCTTCGTTAATATTTGCATTTTTTGTATTTGTAATATGTGACCAAAGTTGTAGGCAACATCAATGTGGGAAAAAATGTAAACAGATATTTTTTTAGGGGTTTAAATATCCACACACTATTATTAAGAGTTAAAAAAGAGGCCATTAATATTAGGAAAAATACACTTTAATAATCTCAACTATGGGCGATTTACTTCTAATAATCCCAACTAAGTTTTATTATCTAATAATCCCAACTATAGAGTCAGTTTCCCTCCAATAGTCCCGGATGACTGGCAACCTAATAAGTAGGTTTTTTTTTTTAATTATATGTGTGGCATTTCTATTAGTCTAGAAAAAAAAAAGAAAAAAAGAAAAAACCCTCTTCCCAGCCACCCTCCTCACCAGAAACCGCCACATTCTGGCCCCCCTTCCCCTCCCAACCCCTAATTTTGGTCTAGTCCCTTCTTCTTCCCCCGATTTCGGCCCCATTCCCTTCCCCCGCCCTCAAATTCGGCCCCATCCATTCCCATACATACCCCCGATTCTGGCGAGATTTTTTTTTCTCTCTCTCTCTCTTTATCGGCAGCTGGGAAGGGGTTTCAGTTGGGGGAAAGGGTTTCGCAAGGGCAAGGGGTGGGAGATGAGTGGTTTTGCAAGGGGGCAAGGTGCGAGGGGGTGGTTTCGCGAGGGGGCAAGGTGGAAGGGCGGTGGTTTCGTGGAGGGCAGGGGGTGGGTTAAACTTGGTTTCGGGGTGGAGGGAAAGGAGGGGGCAGTTTCGGGGGTGGGACTTGGGAAGCGGATTGTTTTCGGTGGGGTGGAAGGGGGAGGTTTCCGGCGAGGTGACAGCGAATTCTGGCTAAGCTAGGGGGGAGGGGTAACTTGTAGGGAGGTGAGGTTTTTTTATTTTATTTTTTTTTAATTTTTTTGAACCACTCACGTGATGCTACGTGTCAAAGTAACTTGTTATGTCAGGTTGATGACCAGTTGGGACAACTAGTGGCAAACTGACCCCATAGTTGGGATTATTAATAAACCTTAGTTGGGACTATTAGAAGTATATCACCCATAGTTGGGATTATTAAAGTGTATTTTCCCTTAATATTAGTGAGTGCGAATGAATTAATAAACAAAACTTTTTGAAATGTATAATTGTCCAAACATTGTCAAAAAAATTGGCTTGAAATAATCCCAACTATCAACGGTGTGTGAAAAATAATACGAACAAAACTATTTGCTATTAGTGTTACCACCTTTTGTATTATATGTGCAAAATAGTACGCCGATCAGTGGAAAAGTATCTCAAGAAATATTACATCGATATTTATATTTTTTTATTATTAATTTTCTATTTTCTTTTCAAAATACATATTATGTTAACAATTTCCTTTACAATCGATATTAATAATTCCTTACCCCTTTGTTAGGCTTTTTTTTTTTTATTTTTAAACTTTTAATATGGTATTTTATTTTATTTTTTTTCAAAATACCTAAATTAATTTATACTACCACGCAATAGTAAAAAGGGTATTTAAATGCATTATTATATTGATATAATTAGTTTCAAAATTTTTTAAAAAATTAAAAAAATCACTAATTATAGCAACATGATAATGCAATTAAATACCCTATTTACTATTGTGTGATAGTAGAAATTATTATGTTATTTTGAAAAAAAATATATATTTAAATACATATGGAAAATTAAAAAAAAAAAAATCTATCAAAGGGGTGGGGCATTATTAATTTGGATTGTAAAGGAAATTGTTAATATATGATACATATTTTGAAAAGAAAACAGAAAATTAATAAAAAGATAAAATTATAATAAATATAGACGAAATATTTCTTGAGATACTTTTTCGGTGATCAGCATACTATTTTGCACATATAGTACAAAAGGCGGTACCGCTAAGAGCAAATAATTGAGTTTGTATTATTTAGCACACACCATTGATAGTTGGGATTATTTTAAGCCAATTTTCCATATTTTTATCATATTGCATTAATAATTAATAATTAATAACTAGTAATTAAAAACTAATCAGTAATAATTAATAATTATTAACTAATAATTATTAACTAATAATTAATAACTGATAACAAATAATTAATAATCTTTCTGTTTCTATTTGATAGTCCCATTTTGACTTTGTGCAGCCTTAAAGAAGCTCCTTTGATCATCAATATATTTATTTATTTATTTATATATTAAAGAAAACTATTTAAAAAAAATTGATATTATAAATCTACACATCAAGACAAATCTAACAACAAATAACATGAGTATATTTTCTTTATATATTAATGTGAGTTTTGGTTAAAGTTTAAATGTTTGACTACAAAAAATGACAATAGGACTATCAAACTGAAACGGAGGAAGCAATTAATAATTAACAATAAAACTTTCTCTAACTTAGGAAATTTGGAATGCTGAAGTGTTTCAATTCAAAAGGCAAATTCTATGAGTTCAATTCTAGCTTGAGCAACAGACTCCCAAATTGCTTAATTCTTCCTCATCTGGCCGACTAGCACCACAATATCATACTTTTATAACCACAAGTGTTTTAGAGATTAAAAAACCTCTAACAAATGGCCAACAATTGATTGTAATCTTCACTGTTTATTGTAATCTTCACCCTTGCACAGTAAGAGAATGCAACCATTCGTAATAATTAATAATTAATAATTAATTATTGTCTATTAATTAATAATCAATTACTAATTACTATTTAAGGATGTTTTTAATGTAATTTGTTTCATGTAGCGTAAATGATTTTACTATACTCTCTTTGTCTCAAAATTAGGTGTCTATTTCATTTTACGCATGCATGTCTTTAATCGTCAATATCTTTAATATACATATTAATAAAAATTATACGAAGTTGATAGTATAAAGCTACACATTAAGACTTATCCTATGATATCTTACATTACTTTTTTTTTTAATCTATACACTACTAAAAATAAAATTGTAAGTTAAAAAGGGAACTGCATATTATTTTCTCAAAATAACAACATCTATAACTAATACTAAAATAGAAACCGCTGACATCATCCTATCCTAATATTAGACACATGTCATGTTGTCATTAAAAATTTTCCTTCCAAAACTATAAATGATGTCATCATTTTCAAATTTTTATTTTATTTTATTAAAATTTTGGTCAGCTATATTTTTATTAGTATCAATTTCAGAAAAACGGTTTATTCTCTCTAACAATAATAATTAAATTTTTCTTCCTCAAGTACCTCTTTCATCATTCAATTTTTCTATGAGCTCTTTTTTTTATTTTTAATATTTGATGTATTCTTTGTTTTGGATTTTTTTTGTTTTTAATTTCGGTATGATAAAATAAACAAATTTAGAAAATTTTATTTATTCAAATCGTGCATCGCACGAGACTAATCTAGTATCCTATTAATATGATACGCCATCATTTATTTTGGAAGTATTTCCTTTATACTGCGTGGATAGTTATTATAGTTGTTATAGGTATAAACTAGGACACCTTTACTTCTTTTTTTTATATATTTATATATATAAACTTTATATTATTCCATCCGTTTACAGCGATCTTCCTATTTATGTATATCGAATGCAAATTATTTATCGCTAATTAATCTAATTTCACATTAGCATAAATTATAAAATTGAATATATATATTGTGCTCACCGAGACGAATCAATTAGACCTCATTTGTCTACGTTTTTTCTCATACATATAGACAAATTTAAAAAATTTTATTTCATTTTTAATGATCATAAGATTGTAGATGGAATGAAAGATCATTGTGAAACGAAGGATTTAGCATTTTGTATATCATGCACCTTTTAAAAAACTGTCATTCATATCAGCATATTAGTACTCCTTCCATTTTTATTAAGTGGCCCATTATTGGAGCTTGGTACACATATCGATACAAAACTTAGACCAACTATATCTTTAATTATCAATAAGTATAAATTACAACAATTGAATATTTATATTTTATTCATTGGGTTGATTCCAACAATATTTTTCTTATGTATAATTCATTGTACTAGTCAAAGTATGTCTAATGAATAATGCCACAATTCTCAATTGGGCACTTTAAGAAAACGGTGCGAGTATTGTTTGAATCGTCTTAATGTTTAATTTATCACAAATATAAACAATTTATAATTTATACATGGCTTTTTTTTTCTTTTTTTTTTTTTTTTTTGAATGGAATAGGAAGGGGTGATTTCATTAAATAATAATAGTGATTTAGCACTTACAATCATCCCTTAAGAGATTTAAATTCTCAATACAAGTATTTAACACCTCTAAACTAATAGCATCGCTATTGAACTGCTCCTGAATAATTTTAGATGTCTTTGCATCGTTCTTAACGGAGCTCCATTGATATATAGTCGCGAAAGTGATAAAACTTGATTGGTCATCAAGATCGGCAAATTTACAAGACGAACCTTCTAAATATGTACCCCTAAACCAACAGACCCGCAATTCTACAAATTTGCAAGACGAATCATCCAAATTTGTATCCCTACACGCACGAAAAAAAAAAAACAAACAATACTAAAAATTCCACCATTAGGAAACCGACTAAACACTACATGGAGGGACTGACTATAATCACCATACTGTTGGTAATCTTTATTGGCTAAAAACATTAAATTGAAGAAGAATTTGGGGCTTACCGTCGATAAAATCGATGGCAGCCCCTAAATTTTACTATGGTGGCTCGGTTTGAAAAGAGAGAACAGAGAATTTTTTAGGGTTTATTTTATAAATTTTACATGTTGATAATTAGAAACATTAATTGTTAAAATCAATTGTTAGTAAAAAAATTTAATAATAATAATAATAATAAAAAGTGTTAACTAATAAAAATGGAGGAAGTAATACTTTTTTTAGGTAGCTAGTCACATGGGTGTATTAAAAGTCAAAAGTTATGAAAGGTTGGATTATCACAACATCCCTATATATCTTTTAAAAAGTATGAGAAAACACTTGTGAATAGTGTGAGGATAATTAGGGATTTGTTAAACATCCCCTACAAATCTCTACATAAAACCCACAATTATTTTTACTTTGACGCTTTTGCCGTTTTTCTAATTTTTACCCAAAACGTAATTCTCTCTCATGAAAAATGTGGAGCAGGACTGGATCGCCGAGGGACACCGGAGAGCCGTCATCGTCGCCAAAAAGAAAGGTACTTTGCGGTAAAAATTACGAAATGCTGGCCGACGTAAGGCCTGACCGCCGCCACCGTGGCGGTGGCGTCTGGCTGGGACACCGCAACCGTGGTGATGGCGCCTAGCCACGGTGGCGGCGTACCGGCCAGACGCCATCGCCACATTTCGTAATTTTTTTTTGTTTGTTTAAATTTTATTTAAAGTTTTTTTTTTGTGTTTTTTAACTTTGATAAATTTGAAATTAAATATGTGTTAATAATTTCAAAAATAAAATAAAATTATGTTATAATTTTGTATGTGTAAATTTATGTTTTAAATATGTGTTAATAATTTCAAAAAAAATATGTTTTAAATATGTGTTAATAAAATTATGTTTTAATTTTGTATGTGTAAATTAAATATATGTTAACAATAATAAAAATAAAATAAAATTATGTTTTAATTTTGTATGTGTATGAATACTTTTATACATGATTATGTGTTAATTTTATGTTAATTATGTGTAAATTTAGAAATTAAATGTATTATGCGTTAAATATAGAAATGAAATTTACAAATAAATTTTTTAGAAATTACTTATGTGTTAATTTTGTGTTAAATGTATTAATTTAATCTTTATATAATTATATGTATTTAAAAATAATATGTTATTGTTGTAGGATTATGGTGGAGACAGAAATGATTATAGTGGGATTTTTGTACATGATGGTCCCTTCGAAGATGCTCAACAAGCGATTGATTGGGCAAAACAGGTTACAATTAGATCTGGTTTTTGTTTAGTAGTAGCAACTCATAAATCTCAACGGGATGGTAGAATGGATCGCATTTTGAGATGCGACCGTTATCGCAAAAGAGAGGAACGAGATTTCAGTACAACGATTCAGTTTGATAAAAAACGGAAAGGTTGTAGGTGTGAGTTCAGAGTAAAGGTTCGACAACACCAAAGTCGTGACGGTTGGGAAGTGAAGGGTTACTCTAAATGGGGGTATCACAACCATGAGATGATAGTATATGAAGTGGGTCACCGAAGACACATCTACAACGTCAGACAGAAACTGAGGTTTGAACGGTCAGATGGAAGGAACCCTATACAGCAGCTTTTATACCAGGCACAAGCACGTGGTTACCTGTTCTGGTTTAATTCTGATGAAGAGACGTTGGAGGTGACTCATTTATTCCTTGTGCATCCTGATTATGCTGATATGATTAAGTCTTGGCCATCTGTGATTTTGATTGATTCAACATACAAGACCTATAACTTTTTCAACAAGAATTTAGATCCAGCAGAGAGATTGGTAAATGGTAAGTGGCAGAAGATCCTGCAAGCTACCACAGAGGCAGGGTACGATCGAGCCTTGGATAACTTCAAGGATGCGTGCCAATGGTATCCGTCAGTGGTAAACTATGTGATGCTGTAGTGGATACCTCATAGGGAAAAGTTTGTCAAATATTGGACAAACCAAGTTCTTCATTTTGGAAACATAACAACATGTAGAGTTGAGAGCGCTCATAGAGCTTTGAAGGACTGGATTGATTCTTCCACCTCTGCTCTGGATACACTGTTCGAGAGAATAAACAGGGCTATTGATACTCAGAAGAACAGCATCAAGAACTCTCTCGAGGACTCTCGACGGCGACATGGTATGATGTATTGCCATTTCATATTTAATATTCTCCATGGTCGTGTGTCACACTACTGCTAGGGGTTGATTCTGAGCGAGCACAACAGGATGAAGGAGTTGGGTGATGAAGTGGCTATTCGGTACGGATGTGCTATATCAGTGACTCATGGACTACGTTGTGCATGCACCATTCACCGCGTAATTACCCAAGATACGGCGTCATTACATGTTGATCAGGTTCATCCATTCTGGCGGACGCTTGTTATTGGAGAGCATGCTGCTCCACAGACGGTCGACCGTGAACAGGAGGAGTTAGAGCAGTTTCGTTTGATATTTGACCGAGTGTCCTCCAGTCACCCTTCAATCATTCGTGATGCTACCCACGTACTTCATGACATGTTCAACACGTCATGCTTGGATCACGAGGAACCTGAAGGGGTCGAGCGACCTAGAGGTCGACAACCACGGGGGAACAGGAGTGCATTTGAGTACATTCGTGGTCGTGGTCGGTCGTTCATCGTCATCCAGTCGTAGCCAATCTTCTTCGTCGGTGAATATGCCCGGAACCGGTATAGTACTTTACTTTAATTTACTTTTTAGAATGTTTGTTTAGTTTACTGCTGACTTGTTAATTGTGTTTATTGATATGTGCAACAGGAAGAGTGGATATTGATCAGTTTCCATATAAGGACAGGATCCCTAACATCATCATGGAATACTTGGACGGGTGGAATGATGTGGTTCCAGATGGTAACTGCGGATTCCGAGTCGTGGCTGATGTGTTTCAGATGGGTGAAGACAACTACGCTTTAGTGCGTCAAATGTACAATGAAATTGCCTCAAACCGAGATGATTATCGTCATGTGTACGGCCAAGACTTGGATAGTTCTCTATGGCGTATCCGGTGGGGAGGAGGACCTTGCGGTCAAAATCATTGGTTCGACGTGCCACTTGATCTATTTGCCGTTGCAAACATCTACAAGTGTGCAGTCATGCATTTCGGGCTTGGTTTGTATAGTCAAGCTTATATTCCATGTACCACAGTTCTCCCTTGGTGTTCGCATGCGACCGTCACCAGACTGGTAAGAGAGTCAGCTATTGCATTTCTAGGGTCGTCACACAGACATTTCATCCAATAATACCTGTTATCCGATTTTCCTGTGCCACCGATCATACCTCGGTGGTACACCATTCGCAAACCAGGCGTAAAGGGTTGGGATGTGCTGTATCATGACCGGATGCGTCATTGGAACAACCTAGCTGCCTTTTAGTTTTTCATGCGTATACCTTTTCTATGTAACCTTGTATTTGTATTGCTATTTTAATTCATTTATTTATTTTTTGTATACTAATTTTGACTAAATTAATTTTATCTTGCATGCATACTAATTAGTATTTGCGCGTTACAAACTACAAAAATAATGTTAAATTTTAAAAACTTAAAATGATAATGTCAAATGTTACAAACTTAAACGATAATGTCATATTTTACAAACTACTATGATAATGTACAAAATGTTCTATAAATAAACTGCCAACAGATCAATAATCTCCCAGCCACCTCACCCCTTACCACCCAAGAATCATTAATGGCCCTCAACCGTTTTCTGCTTATCGCAGACACAGTGGACGCAGATGATGTGCCAGATCTACTAACAAATCTACCATCTCTACCCTTACGTACATCTACCCTATGCGACTCATACATATCATCAAGCCTCTGACTGAATGGACCGTAATCATCATATGGTCCACTCTAATCGTCCATCCCAAGCACCACATCCTCATCTGCGTCCTCCTCCTCCTTTTCCTCATCACCACCATCATCTTCATCCTCCTCAGGATAGTGAACCTGTTCTCTGCGAGCCGAGGCCGAAATACCATGGTATCTAACGTGTCTGGGCCCCCAGCTCTCCATTGAGTAGTTTTTACTTCTAATAACGTCCATACTCTTCCCCGCACCAGGTCGAAAATGCGATATCTAAGTTCATTTAAATAACGAAAAATAATAGCAATTGTTGTTATTATTATTTATATTAATAATCTATTTTTTTAAGTACCAACAACAAAAATTAGAAATAACTAACAAAAAAAATATCAAATAAACAAAAAAAATACTAACAAATTGACATAAAAAAAATTACAAAACACTGAAAAGAAAATATAAACAAAAAAAAATACACACAAAAAGAAAAAAAATACGAAAACATACAAACTAAACATAGACATAAAAAATTAAAAAATAAATAAATAAAATACGACAGAATTGGAAAAAAAGTAAGAAAAATATACAAATAATTGAAAAATAAATATAAACATAAAAAAAAATACAAACAAATTTGAAAAAAAAAAATAAAATAAACAAAAAAATATACAAAAATTGAAAAAAAATATATAAACATAAACAAAAAAAAATTCTGAAAAAAAAATACAGAAAACTGAAAAAAAAATATAAGCATAAACAAAAAAAAAAAAAAAAAAGGGAGGCAGCGTCCTAGCCAGACACCAACCCCACGGCGACGGCGGCAGGGCAGGACACCGAGGCCACGGCGGCGGCACCCACGCAAGATGCCACCACCGTGGCCCTGGCGTCTCGCCCAGCCGCCGCTGCCGTGGGGCTAGCGTCTGGCTTGGACGCCGCCACCGTGGCCACGGTGTCCTACCCAGCCGCCCCGCCTCTTCAAGGTTTTTTTTTTATTTTAAAAAAAAAATACCTTGCCACCGTGTGACCGCCTTCCCTCCGTCCCCACTGCCGCCAATTTCTTGCCTTGCCACCTCGACATTGTAGTTTGGAATTTTTTTTAGAGAGAGGTGATGAGAGTAAAGAGTAGAGGGAAGATGAGAGTGTGTGAGAGTTTTTATTTTAACATATAAGGGCAAAAGTGTCAATTCACTTAAAATTTGTGGGCTTTATGTAGAGATTGCGGGCGATGTTTAGCAGTTCACTTAAAGTTGGGGAACTAGTTTTTTCACCCTTGCAACGCACAAGAGACTTAGTTAAATTTTATCTTTTGTACGATTTTAGAAATATTAAATAGAATGACGACATGAAAAATGAGAACGGCCAAATGTGGGAAAAATAATAAGGTAAAAACAAACGTTTTAAGTAAATTGTGACATGCGTGTCTTTTAACATGAATGATGGTGTTTTCGTAAGTGTTATATCTTAGTTGATTTTTAAGAGGTGAATGATATTGTTTTGATTTTGGTTTTCCTTTGAAAACACTAAGTATAGATATAGATTGGGTTAAAGCTATTGTTGTAGACACTATAAAGATGAAATCGGTAAAAGGAAGATGAAGGGAGAAATTTATGAGTTAGAGATTTGAAAAAATTATCGAAAGCAATTAAAAAAATGCTTATAAAATTAAAACTTGAAGTTAGAGAAATAATTGAAGATATGATGTATCATTGAGAAGAAGAGTAATGATGTGTCATTGGGAGGAATTTGGAGTGATTTGTCATGTGTCAAATGTGTGTTTGGGGAGGGTTTTTATATACTAGTGGGTATAGAATATCACCAAGATTTATATATTTGTCATTTATTTTATTTTTCTTATTTTAGTACTTAAATTAGATTAATTCCTATGCAATGCACTCATACTAAAATTGTTAAACATATCCCTTAGGGTTAGAATTGGCAATGGGTCGACCTGGGTTGGGTTCAAGTTGACCAATTAACATTAATGGGTCACAACCTTAACCCAAATTCAACCCGTTAAGCTTAATGGTTTAAGATTTTCAATCCAACCCAAACTTAAAATAAATGGGTCGACCTGATTTTGACCTACTAACCCGTTTACAATTCAATTTTAAATTTGTTATTAAATAAACCTTATCTTAATCCAACACGTAATAATAAAATTTGTCGCAAATGATAAGTTGTTTTTAAGGTCAATGGATCAATGGCCATTGTTGAAACTTAGAGTAGAAAATTAGTCAGTTTGCAACTAATAAAAAACATAAAATCATTTAAAAGAACAAATATTATATGGTTATTGGGTCAACCTGCCCCCACCAACCCAACCCATTTAATTAATGGGTTTAGGTGGGTTGTAATCAGGTTGACATTTTCAACCTAACCCAACACATTAACTAAATGGGTTGGGTTGGGTCAACCTATTTAGCTTAATGGGTTAAAAATCTTGACCCAACCTTTTATTAATGGATTGGGTTAATGGGTTGGGTCAGTTTTGCCAGCTCTACTTAGGGCTATGTTAAAGCATTAAATTCATTTCTTAAAATGGAAATAATTTATGAGTTTAGGACAAAATTATACATCATTTGAAACAATAAATGCGTGATTTAACTTTTTATTTCTATTTTAACCTTTTAAGGCTATGTTTAACATTTTCCCAAAAAAATTGTTAATATGTTACTCCCTCTTTTCCACTAAATTCCTACCAATTACTATTTAGAGGATTATTAAGGAATATATTAAAATAATGGATGTGAGGTAGAATGTCATAGATAAATTGGAGAGAGATTGTAAATAGTGTAAACATATGTGCAACTAAAGACACAATTGAGAAAAAATGAGCCCACTAGGTAGCCCCACATAATAGAAAAAAAAAAATCAATATAAACCTTTTCTAAAAAAATGGTAGGAATTTACTAGAACGTCCAAATGAGGAAAGTAGTATGAATTTAGTGTAATGGAGGGAGTACATTTTTACATATAAAATAAAAAGCCTTTTTTTTTTGGCTTTTTTGCTAAAGAGGGGCTGAGCCCCAAGACACAAGATAAAAAAATAAAAAAGGAAAAAAAGAAAAGAAGCTAGCTATGACACGAGGATAAGTGACACCACGAGCATCACAATCCAATATACGAGCTAAATCTGGAGGTGGATGCTGATACACACGAAAACAAACTCCATCTCGAACACCCTGGTTAGCTAGCCAATCCTCCACCATGTTTCATTCCTTGTAGCAATGAGAGATGCGGACATCCCAACCAAAATTGTGGAGAAGAGCTTGATAAACTTTTAGGAGGTTGACATACTCAGAACGGGGTTCTTCCTTCCTTTGTAATGCCAACACACATGCTTTATTATCTAATTGCATTTCCAAATGAGTGATCCCTAGATCACGAGCAACTTCCAAACCTCGAAGGACAGCTAGAAGTTCAACACGAAAAGCAACAGTAGTTCCAAAAAAAAAGTCGAGAACACAGACGCAAAGAACCCATCACTATCTCGAATCACATCACCACCTCCATCCGGACCAGGGGTCCCCTTGGTTGCGCCATCCGTATTGAGCATGAACTAGTAAGGGGCAGGAGCTCTCCAATTAACCTACTAACTACTATTCTTGACCACGAACTGATATCTACCCAGAAGCCCACCTGGAAACACCCATTGCTTTACAAGTTTCATTGAATCGCACTTTAACAAAGGCACATACATCGAATGGAATTTCATTTGCTCGCCCATAAACATTGCAATTACGCCATCTCCATGTCCACCTTAAAGTGACACCAAAATACATTTTCCAAATATCTGGACGAGCATACTTTGGATTATGTAAATTGGAGAGTATTAGACATAATAAATAAAAAGCATTTGTGCATGTGAATATAGTACTCCAGCGAAGTATTAGACACTCACTGGACATGGGACAAGGGATATATCTATGAGAAATATAAGAATGATAATTTTATTCATAGATTGTACAAGGCAAGAAACACCATATTTATAGATTACAAGGCTATTAACAAAGAAAGTCAGTGACTTAAATTAAGCCTAAGATTACGCCTAGAATAAAGGAACAACCTAGGAAACTTTGACTAGGAAGATAAAAACAGTAATTAAAAATAGGAAAAAGATAATAAAAGGATATTTACAAAATTATCTTCTAATATGCCCCCTCAAGATGGACTGGCGTGAGGCAAGGCCAATCTTGGAATGTAGCGCTGAAAATCGATCAAGAGCAAGTGGCTTTGTAAGAGCATCAGCAAGTTGATCGTTGCCACTAATGTGCTGAATACGCAAAGTACCTAGCTAAATCTGTTCATGGACAAAATGAAAAGCAAGAGCCAAGTGTTTCATCCTTGAGTGAAAGACTGGATTCTTAGAATAGCTCACAGCACTTAAATTGTCATAGTATATGACTGGTTGGGCAGAGAGATTAACTCTCAACTCATAGAGCAAAGAGAGAAGCCATAGCACCTCTGCCGTAGTGGAAGAAACAACACGAAATTCAGCTTCAGTAGAGGAGTTTGCAATACCTTGTTGCTTCTTCAAACTCCAAGAAAGAGGATTCTTCCCCAAATAGACAATGTAACCAGGGGTAGATAGAAATGTATATCTATCACCAGCCCAATCCGCATCCGTGAAAATGTGAAGAATAAGAGGCGAGTTGCGGTGAAGAGTCAGGCCATGATCAATGGTGCCTTTTAGGTAGCGAAGCAGCCGCTTGAGAGCTGCCCAATGATGGTCCGTTGGACAATGCATGAATTGAGATAAGTGATTTACAGCAAAAGCAACATCCAACCTAGTAAGTGACAAATACTGAAGTGCTCCAACCAAGGCACGATATTCAGTAGGTTTGGACAAAGGAGACCCAACATCAGCAGATAGAAGTGGGGAGCCACCATTGGAGTGGATACGGGCTTGGCCTCTAACATATTTGCACGGGCTAGAATGTCACCACTGTACTTTTGTTGACTGAGAAATAGACCATGCTTATGAGGGATGACTTCAACACCCAATAAATAGGACAGAGGCCCTAAATCTTTAAGTGAAAACCTGGAGGCAAGAGTGTTGATTAGTTGTTGAAGAGCATTAGAAGATGGCCCTGTAACAATAATATCGTCAACATACACAAGTAAGTAATAAACAACCCCATTGCAATTGTACAGAAACAACGAAGGATCGGCAATGGAATTTTTGAACCCAACCGAAAGGAGATATGTACGAAGCTCAGTGTACCAAGCACGAGGTTCTTGCTTAAGGCCATAGATAGATTTGCGAAGCTTGCAAACATAGTTAGGTTTGTCTTTGTCAACAAAACTAGGAGGTTGAGCCATGTAAACATCCTCATGGAGGGAACCTTGTAGAAAGGCGTTATTGATATCAAGTTGCCTAATAGACCACCCACTTGAGATTGCTAAAGAAAGCAATAACCGCACTGTTGATGGTTTAATAACGGGACTAAAAGTCTCAGAGAAATCAATCCTTGGACGTTGGAGAAACCCCTTAGCAACAAGACGCGCTTTGTAGCGTTTAACCTCTCCATTAGGCTTGTACTTAACACGGTACACCCAATTGCAACCCACTAACTTAGGTGTATCATGAGGAGGAACAAGCACCCATGTGTTGTTCTTGGTTAGAGCATCAAATTCAGCATGCATAGCAGCTCGCCATTGAGGGTTTTTGAGTGCTTGTGTAATGGTTGTAGGTTCAACATGAGAGAGGGTTGTGGTGGTTGGGTGTGCATATTTTTTGTTGGGTTTAACAATGTTGTTTTGCAGGCGTGTGACTATCGTGGAGGGGCGTGTCTCGGGGAGGATGTGATATCGTGGATAGGTGAGGTGGTAGAAGAAGAAGGTACATGCGTGGGTGTGGAGGATGCATAGGTAGGAGTAGGAGAGTGGGAGGAGTTGTGCTGAAATACGGGTTGAGTGGTAGGAGAAGTGGGCAGTGGTATAGTGTCAGGTACCGCTTGCTGAGTCGGTGGTGAGATGGGGAAGGGAAGGTTGATGCTTACCCATTCCTCAACAGTGGACGTGGAAGCACAAGAATTGGACTGGCTAAGATCTGGATAGGGGAAGACATCTTCTACAAACTTTACGTGCCTAGATGTATAGATACGGTTAGTAGGAGGATGAAGACAGTAGAATGCGCTTTGAGTGGGTGAATAGCCCAAGAAGACACAAGGCAAAGACTTGGGATCAAGCTTATGGGAGGTGTAGGGTTTTAGCCAAGGATAGCATAGACAACCAAAGGCAAAAAGTTTGGTGTAATTAGGCACAACACCAAAGAGTTTCTGGTAGGGGGAAACGTTACCTAACGTTTTTGTAGGTAAATGATTTATTAGAAATGTTGATGTGGTCATGGCATGTGGCCATAATGAGAGGGGCAAAGAGGCATGAGACAGAAGTGCCAAACCGGTTTCAACAATGTGACGATGCCGACGTTCGGCATAGCCGTTGTGTTCCGGAGTGTTAAGAGGGGAAGTAAGATGTGAGATGCCATTGGAAGTAAGGTAAGGTGTAATTTTTTCGAATTCACCACCATTATCAGAAAAAAATTATATTATCTTACGTTTGAAGAAGTTTTCAACTAGAGCCCTAAAACGTAAGAAAACATTGTAAGTGTCCGATTTCTTTTTCAATGGATAAAACCAAATGTATTTAGTGAAATGATCAACAAATATAACATAGTACTTGAACTTTTCATGAGAGTATACAGGAGAGGACCAAAGATCAGAAAAAATTAACTCCAAAGGGGCTTGGGAAGTAAGTGTAGATTCATAAAAAGGAAGTTTATGACTCTTATTCATATTGCAAGCATTACAACCATTAACACAAAAATCAGTAATAGGAAGACTGTAACTAGACTTTAGATATTGAAGAACTTGATGGGATGGATGCCTTAATCGGTGATTCCAAGAATGCCTAGGAATGATTGTGGAAGCGAAAACACGAGGAACAGAAGGAAGCCATTCATAGAACCCTGCCTTAGTTGGACCTTGGAGGAGGGTCTTCCCTTGCGAAAGCTCCTTCACACGAAAAAAAGAGGGTAAGAATTCAATAAAAGTATTATTTTCCCGACAAAATTGAGAAATAGATAAAATGTTACGAGAGATGGAAGGAACATGTAAGACATTTGAAAAGTGGAAAATAGTAGAAGAAGTAGGGATAGAAAAAGAACCAGTGTGCTGAATAGGGAGAGTAGAGCCATCACCAATGACTAGCTCTTCCGTACTATCATAAGGTGCATGAAGGGAGAGATTAGCTAAATCATTGGTAACATGGTGCGAGGCTCCACTATCAAGAAGCCAAGCGTTGGAGGAAGGGGAAGCAACTGTGGCAGCGTGAGCCTGTGGTGCATGGAAAGTGGGGTTGTGACCCTTAGAAGGGCTACGGGTATGAGTGGGAGGAGGGACTTGGATGGAGGGGTACAAGGCTTTGAAGGAAGGGCAGTAGATGAGGGAGTGACCCTGCTCTCGGCACCATTGACATTTGCCGAGAAAAGGGCGATGAGGTGGAGGTGGTGGGGCAGGAGAAGAGGCAGCAGGGTGAGACATGGGTGAGTGGTGTGAGTGATTTGAGCAAGGTGAGCTTTAATTTGTTTAAAATGCCCCCTAGACGGATTGGCAAAGGTGGAGGCCAAGAGCTTCCAAGCCTCGTGAGCAGAGGTAGTTTGGGTGATTAAGGGGACCAAGTTTTGAGAGAGTGTACCAACAATGGCACTGAAGACCAAACGATCTTGGCGATACCAGGCTGTGGCAGCGGGGTTGATCGCAGGAGATCCGTTGGTGGTGATTGTTTGAGGAGGGGATGGATAGCTACCATCCACAAATTTCCACGCATCATACCCAAGAAGGATGGCCTGAAGGTGAGTTTTCCAGGCAACATAGTTCGAGGGGGTGAGCTTGATGCAATTTTGAACGTTGATGACAGTGAAAAGGGTGCGTGGATCATCACGATTGGGAATGAGGATGTTAGACAAGCTGATACAAAGGAGGGGAGGGGCGGAAGCAAGGGTTTATGCAAATTGGATCAAAAACCAATCTGATACCATATGAGAAATATAAGAATGATAATTTTATTCATAGATTGTACAAGGCAAGAAACACCATATTTATAGATTACAAGGCTATTAACAAAGAAAGTCAGTGACTTAAACTAAGCCTAAGATTACGCCTAGAATAAAGGAACAACCTAGGAAACTTTGACTAGGAAGATAAAAACAGTAATTAAAAATAGGAAAAGATAATAAAAAGATATTTACAAAATTATCTTCTAATAATATCTCCCAAACATTCTCAATTCTTTTCCATGTGTTATTTCCTTTCTCCTATTTTTTATTTTTTTATTCCATCATTAATAAAAAATTCTTTCGTCTTCTCTCTCTACCATTATAATTTTTCAAATTGTAATAAATTAATTTGTTGATTTATATACAATATTTATATGCAGAACACTGACATATATAGTCAGACTTAAAAAAAAATACTACATTTTATTTTATAGCAACTCTAATACCATATTTTATTCAATAGTCAGTAAAAATAATTATTGTACTATCTTATTCTATATAGTTTAAAAAAATGTACCAATGAATCACATTTTCATTATATTTTACCATTAAAAAAATATATAATCAGTATTTCACATAACCTAAAACTAGTTTTATTTCACTGATATCTTCCTTTTTCATATGTTACATTGTATAATGATTGTATATGATCACCATTTCTTAGGGGCGCTCGTTATCTTTCATAACTTGTTAATATATCTAATGATTTAATTTGTTTTGTTAACAAATATACGGGGAATAGTTTACGAATTAATTGTAAAAGAATTTTTGTTTTGAGGGGTCTGAAGAGGAAGATAATTAGAGAACATTTATTTTATAGAATGACAATATAATAAGTTGCCTTTTTAATTTTACAATATCCAAAATAATACTCCCTCCGTTCCCATTTGTTGTTCCCCTTTTCCGAATTAGTGTTCCTTTATATTGTTCCCAATTTCCATTTCTAATCTTCACAAGAGGTGATCATTAATAGTTCGGCCGTCGGATTGGTCCAAACCCGCCCGAAAAAGTGAAGTTTGAGTAATAAAAAATACACTTTTAGTACAAAGTCTGAACATAACCCGCAAAACCCGCACTTTTTGATGGGTCCAGACATAATTTTTTGTGTACAAGCATGACCCGTCCATTTGATCACCTCTGCATTACAACTCACAAGTACGGAGTATAAAAAGAAAGAAACCCCGTATGGCCGTATAGGTCTTCTTTCAACTCAATTGACATCTTCTCAAAGTTTTTGTGCCGCAAAGTGCAAACAAGTAAACAATCATTGGTATTATTCGACGTTCCAGATTATACTCTCTTTGACAAGGTATCTTTCTATCACTTTTCTCTAGTTTGATTATATCGTTACTAAATTGTATCAAGTAGCACATCTTGGGGTTGATTATCAATTTGTCAATGGTTTCAAAAATTGTTTTTTAACTATCATGTAAAACTTCGTACATAATATTTTTAATTTATACAAGAAAGAAAAAATTGGAAATAAGTACCTATTAAAAAAATTTGACACATAGATAATCATTTCCAATTTTTCCTAGAAGAAAATATGAATTGAATCCATCAGACCCATGAGTGCGTTTGGGTAAGTTATGTATTTTCTCTAATTCTATGTTTTTTAGATCTATATCATCACTGTAGATGGCGTATGGCCGATTATAGATAAAAATATTTTTTCGTATAAAAAATAAAAAAAAAAATATAAAAAAAAAGAAGAAGAAGAAGATAGGACTATGGCTGATTACTTAGTAACTTTGGCGGATCCAATGTGGGTTCAAATTTTTTTTTAAAAAAAAAAAACAAAAACCGAAAAACGCTTAAAAGGTATATCTGTGTAATATATGTCAAGAAGTTATTAGTTGATTTTCGATTCATGTAAGAAAATTTGTTTAATATGATGTTAATTTTTACTACTATAGCAATATTAGCTGGATTTTTTAAAAATTAGTTTATCTGAATTAGATAGAACTTATTCTACTGAGTTGAGTTACTGATTTGGTATTGGTAGTTTAATTTACTTGTAATAATTGAATGTAATAGAGTACATGTTTTAAGCAATTGTTAGATTGATTAGATTTTGGAATGCTTTAAATTTTAGGAATTTGAACAATTAGGTGATAAAACATAATGTTAGATTATGCCTATAATTACGAAAAGGATTATTGTCGTAGTACAAAGTGCATATAATTCATACCGTTACGCTACATAATGCAGCAAAACCTAAATGAAATTTTGAGAGTGAAGAGGTAGCTTGGTTGGTTAGAACTCCCCTTCGTGTTCCAACTAGGATCAATTCTCATCCCCGCACTTTAGCTCTCTTAATACCCCAAAAAAACAATTATGACATTGAATAGGCAGAGATGCTTTCTAAGTCTAGGGAAAGAGAAGAGAGGAATTGTGGAAGAATGAAGATAGATGTATGATTTACAGGAACAAAAATCAACTTATCGGGGTTTCTTCCACTAACTATGTGTGGTAAAAGGCCAAAAGTATAGAATTGAAGGAACAAGCTAAGTGACTTTGTTTCTTGTTTTTAGCTGTTCAGACTTAATTTTATTCTTTCAACCCTTCCCTTTCTTTCATGCTCTTCTGCAATTTTGACTGTAATTTACCTTATGGATGTTTAATGGTGATATGCATAGCAGTGTAGCTGAATATTTGTCAGTCATCCAAATTCCAGACACTTCCTTAATCTGAATCATTGCTAAATTTGAAATAATTGGTGTATTCTTAAAGTAGTATTACACAAGGCATAGCTTGAAGGCGTTTTTCACATAGTTTGGCTCCTGTGATTTTTTTTAGAAATAAACATCTGTTTCTTGAGCTTACCATAAGTTTTCTGAGCTGATTTCTACTTCGTGAAATTATTTGTATAAGTTCTAGAGAATAAAAGCTTAGTCCCGCCAATTAGTGGAGTGTTAAGCGACTGCCAATGTAAGAAACATGGTATGTAGATAAATTCTTTAATGGCGGTAGCAGTGCTTCTACTACCACTGTTGGTGGACAATCTGAACGAGACTGTTTTCTTACACCTGGTCTTACTATGTTGCTCTCTGGCCCTCCATCTTGGTACTCTCTCTTCTTTACAGTAATGCTAGCTCACTAATGTGTTATGAGGACTTATAAAAGAAATTTTCATAAACTGCTTTCTTACCAGCAGGAAGACGTCTTTGCTTTTTCAGTATGCCTTGAATATGGCAGCTCACTATCAGTCCTCAGCACATGGATATGTTGTCTTCATCTGCAATCGTCGCCGTTTTGAAACCAAACCTCCTTTTCTCTCCCAGATGTCTCTTCTCTCTTTCATCCTCATACATATGCTGAGATGGATAATTATAGATTGAATTGCTAAAAATTCTCAATCCTATTTCAGGGAATTGATACTTCCTCACATCTCTTTTAGCGAATTTAGATCAAGTTAGTTGTTACTGCTTCAATTATTAGTGAAATCTGTCCTTTATACTCAGGTCTTCATCGTCTCCCCTTAATTTTTTTGTTTTCTTTTAATATAGTGCATCTGTGGTTCCTAGGTATGTAGATGATTATGATGATGAAGGCATCAAGAAATATTTTGCTGCTTTCCATCTTCTCTAACCTTTTCCATGTGCTGTTGTTGTTGATGATTTTGGAGACTTCTTCCTTAATAGGTATCTTCTAAAATGTTTTGGTTTTGTTAAGAGCTAGTCTTGTATCATCCTTTGGTTGCATATTTATAATGGCTTGTATTGCATTTTAGCGTGATAGCATAACAAATTTCATATTGATTATGACTGCACTATACTGATCATCATGTAACTAGATGAAGCAAGTGTCAACAGAGGTATAATAATTTTCGTGGCAGAGAGTTGGCCATGGTTAGAGTTATAGCTCTTTGTCATAGTGCAATTATCCATGCCAAGTGAGTTCCTACTTTCTAGCTAGCTCTACTACAACATTTTACAATGCCTTTGTAATCCAGTTCACCGTCTAACTTATAGTTCCTCTTTATTGATATAATATTACTAGCAAAACAACAACTTGTCAGCTTTTGCTCTCTGACACGCATCATGGTGACTCCCTTAGGCTCCTATTTATTTACAAGAGATGGATTTCATCTATGTTTACCATCCAAGGTAGATTGGTTTCTTCAAAATGTATATAGATCTTGTGAAGTTTCTTCTAGTTTTAGTACTTACACATACATATTATTAATGAAGGGGTCTGATATAGTCATATAGGTACTTATACTTATTTTTTTAATCAAAGGTGAAGGTGATGGATCCTGCTCCTTTCTACTTAAGCATAGTGTGCGCACAACAGGAAGTGGTTCAGGTCAAAAGAGCGCCAGATACTCTATAGCTCTTCGGTACCTGATTTTGGAAGGAATTGTAGATGCATAGCTGTGATATATTATGTCACTTGGTTAGTATCTTTAACATATTATTGCTAAAATATGTTTAGGCATTTACAACCTAAATACTTTCTAGGTGACCAGTGTGCAGGTATTTTAGCATAAGAACAAATTTTCCCCCAAAATATTGCTATATTGAATTCAACTGCTAGAAAAGATTGGATTATAATTTATTACAGTTATGCAAAACAAAAACATGAACTGAATGTTAAAAATTGTATGCATTTAATTACAAAATTGAGCTCTAATTACAAGTGTATGAAGAACAAAGTTATGAAAGGAAGAGTAGAAGTGTACAAAATCGGGAAGAAGAAGAAAGCCATGGTGGGAGCAGCTGCAGCAGTAATACTATTGGATGGTGTTAGAGCTTAGAGGACTTTAACTTTCGAGCATAACTGCACTCAAAATTCAAGACCTTGCTGAGTGCTGACTCTCATAGCAAGTGTGAGCAAAAAGCCATGGGGATAGTTGCAATAGAGGTTGAAGTAGCTGAACATGGTTGTTGCACAATTGCTCGTTTGGTACGTAATTAAGTATCAGGTATAAGGATTTTCCAAATCCATATGTTAGGGGAATATGTAGGTCCTTGCATTGGCTATGTATGATTATGTAGTTTCAGTGTCAAAAGTCGACTATCTAAATCCATAGCTAGGCAATATACTGTATTTGTATATTACTCCGCAACCAATTTTACCTTCCATCCATTCTAATGTGTGCGTATTGTGTTTTTACAATGTTACTGGCTAGCTATATTATTAACTATCCGAATTGGCAAATTTTATAATACAACCGATTGTACAATGCAACCACACTCTTTTTTCTGCGATGGTCCGCCAAGTATAAAGGTGTAAGATGTAAAATTGAGAGAAGTTGTACCGTACAACTGTTGGTACCATGAACATCCTCATCAGATTTGGTGAGGTTTTTCACTTCTAACTTTTTGTAAAACCTCCTAGACAAGTGATACCACAATAAAAGAACGGAGGAAGTATACACTATTTACTTATGAACGACTACCAAATAATAAATTGCGCTTTAAGCATGGATGGAGGAGACACAAGAAACAAAAAGCCCATAGCAAGGTACTATATTTCAAAAACCAAATTGGCATGCATTAGGAGAAATAATAACCCATTACTTTGGTACCTTTATACACTTATATTCACTCCTAACACTACAACTCACAAACTTGAATTTTTGGTATTATGAAAATATATACCGTGATGATAGTTTATAAAATTACTTGACCAGTGACGGATCCAATGTGGGTTCAAGTGGGTCATTGAACCCACTGATTTTTTGAAAAAAAATTGAAAAGTTTTTTTTAAAAAAAAAAAAAACAAAAACCGAAAAACACTTAAAAGGAGTATCTATGTAATATATGTCAAGAAGTTAAGCTGCATCCCAGCGGTTCTTTTTAACTCACATCATACACGAGTTTGTGGGTTCAAAAACCATAACTCACACTTTTTTTTCTTTCTTTTTTCTACATTACTCATTAGTCATTACTGCTTTAGTGCTTCCTCATAAGTGAACGACAAAACACTAGAACAACTTCCTCATTTCCCCCAAATTGTAAAACCCTGACTCCCCTAAATCCCCAGCTGCCGCCGTTGAGTTCACCGGTGCACAGTCCCGCTGTCCTGCAGGCGACTCTTCATCAAGTGCTCCGACCTCCGTGGCACCGTGCTCAGGTCAGTGAATTTTTAAGGTTTTTCACTCAGAATTTCGACTATAAATCTCTAATTATTTGCGACGCAAAATGGATAATAACGTTGTTTATCTTGAATTTCGCCACTTTGTTCTTATCCTGATTTAATGTTTCATATAGAATTCATTTTTTAGTGTTGATTATACGGGGTAACAATGTGCATTGTATATGTTTGATAAAATGCTTATGAGAAATTTAAATGGCATAATAATGGTTATGTAGGACTATTGGAACATATCATGTATTAAGTTGGATGCTTTAATTTGACTAATGTCTAATCAAATTATTTAAATTTTAATAGGTTGGGTTTTATAATTCAAGAATAAATGAAAATTACCTTGTAATTTATTTGTACCCAACATGTATGATGCAATAATAAAAAACGGAGGAATATTAGATGATTTCTCACCAATTAGTTAAAGTATTTGTATGCAGTTGAATTTGTTAATCATCATCACAATTCACAAAGAATCATCATGAGAGGATGAGTGGAGTCAAATTCTGTCTTGGTATTGTCCCTATGGCAATGCAAATTAGCATGGTTCTTGGCGGATCCAACAAACAAAGAAGCCAATAAATTGAGGGGTATCACGAAGACACTCCATGCAATGGATTCCAGCTACAGGTACATAAACCCTCTTCGTTTAGCCATTCATGATCCACACACCAACATCCCTATCATCCCTGAAATAGCAACACGCTTCAATTGCATTGTCTTGGACTCCGGCATCCGGCACAAGGTTTGGACGGGCGAGCTCCATTCCTTGATGGAAGAGAATGTGTCAATCAATCAAGTCCTCAAGGATTACCAACACCGCTTCCTAGTGGATGCGAGTGGCATGAACAAGAGTAGTACAAACATGTTAAGAGATGGTTTTGCGCATATTCACCAACACCCTAAGTTTACGGTCTGTTTGTTAACCCTTTGGTATTGGCTACTTGTTTGGTGCTTCCCAACTGATAATCCTCGTAGTATTAATAGTCATCTTAAAAATGAATTCATTTTGGGTGTTGAGTTGGACTTTAGAATGTTAGCAAAATGTTTGGTTGACCCTAATCCACATTCATACATGGATAATAGAGAGCAACGACACCTCCAACATCTCTTTACTATGCTCATTAACATGATGAAATCAAACCTTCAACATTGGATCGACGCCTTGGATTACTTCACCGAGAAGATGGCCAACGCCTGGATATTACAAGGACAAGTGAAGAAAGTTTTCCATGCTGTCGGTGCTCTCAAAGATGATGCTTCAATGCCCATGGTAACTCAACTTTGCTCTACCTCGCTCTTTTCTAAATAATAATGCATGCATGTTTTAAGATATGTTTTCTCTCTTTCCTAATATTTGTATCAACTGACTATATACGACGTTTGTCAATTCACTACTTCAACCATTAATATCTTCAAAATATACTTTATTAAAAATTACTCTCTATTATATATATTTATATCCTTTGAGCTGTAAAAATATTACAAACCTTTGTTTTATAAAAAATTTACTAATATGTAACTAGTGAAATTCCACGTTTAAAAAAAATCAAACAATAAATGTGTATGTTAAAGGACTTAAAGTGATGGTACTTATCACGTTAACTCTTGATACCAAGTTAAAAGATCATCTGAATAAAAAAACTTAAGATGATGGTTGTGGTCCAGAAACAGGTTATATAGTTTAGAACTTGGGAAAACAGATATAGTGGTTTAATTTGTACTTCATGTATTATTTGGATTATCAATTGTTGTATTTGTAATATTCCTATATGTTATGCAATTTGCAGTTGTCACCACCAGAAATGCATACAAAGGGTTTAAAAATATCAGCACCAAAGTTTTTAGGTAACAAGGGTTGGTTAACGAAACTTGTCCGTGACGCACTAATACAGAATCAGCGAAGTAATAGATAATCTGGAACACGTGGTTGTGAATATGTACCATGGATTGAAAGATGCTGCGGATTTCCTCGCTGAAGAAATTCCAAAGGTTGCGGAAGAAGTTGGTCATGAAGTTGTACATATCGCCAAACAAGTTGGTAACGGAGTTGTACACTTTGTTCATGAAGTTTCTCATTTGGGTCATATAATAGCCAAGGGAATGAATCGTTTTGCGGAAGGCATTCATTAAGCAATTAATAAAGTGGGACACTAACACCTACCAGCCCACCTAACCCGTACCACCACCACATATATTCTGACGGATTTTATCTCCGTCGGAAATTTCCGACGGAATGTTTGAATTCATCGGAAATATCCGACGAAACATAAATCCGTCGGAAATTTCGTTTTTTCCAACGCATTTTCGGGTCCGTTGGAACCAGTCCGTCGAAATTTGCCTATTTTCTAGTAGTGATTTTGAGGCCACTGAGGTTGAGTTATCTGCTGTTAGAAGAATAATTGTGAGTTGTGACCATAATGATTACACCCATGAATTAAATTATGCATGCATTTATAGCTAAACTATTAACAGGATCATAGTAAAGAGAGTGCACTTTGTCATCAAGGTCATCAACACCATGAGCTGATGGTAAGCAGCTAAACTTACTGGAAGTCGCTGCAATAAAACCTTTTATATTACACTTTCTAAGTTGTATTCTATGTTGATATTTTTCTTGTATGCAATAATAATGTGGTGATGATATTTGTTCTGTAATGTTGTGTACTTAATTGCTCTCAACTAGATAGTATCGATTATGCAGGTTATTTACAATTGCTCGTTTAGTATGTAGTTAAGTATCTGGTATAAGGATTTGCCAAATCCATATGTTGGGGGAATATGTAGGTCCTTGCATTGGCTATGTATGATTATGTAGTTTCATTTTCAAACGTCGACTATCTAAATCCATAGCTAAGCAATATACTGTATTTGTATAATACTCTGCAGCCAATTTTACCATCCATCCATTCTACTGTGTGTGTATTGTGTTTTTATAATGTTACTGGCTAGCTGTATTATTAACTATCCGAATTGGCAAATTTTATAATACAACCGGTTGTACAATACAGCCGCACTCTTTTTTCTGCGATGGTCCGCCAAGTATAAAGGTGTAAGATGTAAAATTGAGGAGTTGTACTGTACAACCGTTGGTACCATGAACATCCTCATCAGATTTGGTGAGGTTTTTCACTTCTAACTTTTTGTAAAACTTCCTAGACAAGTGATACAACATTAAAAGAACGAAGGAAGTATACACTATTTACTTATGAACGACTACCAAATAATAAATTGCGTTTTAAGCCTGGATGGAGGAGACACAAGAAAGAAAAGCACACTAAAAAAGCTCATAGCAAGGTGGACATTTTCCCAAACTAAGCCCTATTTGCAAAGTATTTTGCAAAATAGATGCGTGGCAAAAGTATTTACCAAACTAAGCTTCAGGGATTTTTTACCAAACTAAGTTTTATAACCTGGATTTTTAAAAAAAAATAAAATTCAAAGTGTAAAACGCTATCTCAGATAGCGTTTTACATTTTGACTTATTTTTTTAAAAAAAATCGTAATTTTTAATTTTAAAATAAAAAAAAATTACACTAAAAGCGCTGTCTGAGTCAGCGTTTTTAGTGTAAATATTTATTTTAATAAAATCAGAAATTCACAATTAAAAAAAATTATCCTAAAAACACGTCCAACGCTGACGCGTTTTTAGGATAAGGTTTTTTTTTTCAAGAAAGAAGAGATGGAGAGTGAAACAGCTCCTAACATAGGAATGTTAATGGCGGAATTTTGCCAAGCTGGACTTATGATTATCAGCAAACAAGCTATGAATACTGGTATGACTACTTTCGTCTCCGTCTCCTACTCTAATGCTATTGCGTCCCTCATCCTCCTTCCTTTCTCTCTCTTCCTTCACAGATCTCCTTCCTTCTCTCTCTTCTTTCCAATTTTTTTTTTAAATTATTAATTTCTAAAAAAAATTATACTAAAAACACTGACTGAGTAAGCGTTTTTAGTGTAATTATGATTTTTTTTTTTAAAAAAAAGTCAACATGTAAAACGTTGTCTCAGACAACGTTTTACACTTTGAATTTTTTTTTAAAAAATCCAGGTTATAAAGCGCTGTCCGAGACAGCGTTTTAGCCTAGAAGCTTAGTTTGGTAAATAGTTTTGCCACGCATCCATTTTGCAAAATACTTTGCAAATAAGACTTAGTTTGGGAAAACGTCCAAGCAAGGTACTATATTTCAAAAACCAATTAGCATGCATTACAAGAAGTAATAACCCATTACTTGGGTACCTTTATACACTTATACTCACTCATAACACTACAACTCACAAACTTGAATTTTTGGTATTATGAAAATATATACTGTGACTATAGTTTATAAAATTACTTGAGTTAGTATAATGATATTAAGTAAGGAGAAAAAATAGGAATAGTACGGTTCAAACGAAAACCCTAGCTAGGCCTAACCCGTCCGATCACCTCTCCATTGCAACTCACAAGTACAGAATATAAAAAGAAAGAAACCCTAGCTAGGTTCATAATAATAGTCGTGCTCTACTGCTCTTCTGCTCTTCTCTTATCTCACTCTGCTAATCTTTAATCTAATCGAGTTAATTCAGGTATTTCAAATCAATCTTATTGCTCTAATTTCTTGTAATTTATGAGTTTTGTTTTTCTAGTAGTAGTACTTGCTGTACATAATCGAGTTAATTCAGGTAATTTAGTGTCTTTCTAAACTTCAAATCAATCTTATTGCTTTCTAATTTCCTGTAATTTTTGACTTTTTATTTTTCTATGTAATTTGTTAATATTTAATTATTATATTTTTTATCTTTTTTTTTCTCTACATTACTCATTAGTCATTAGTGCTTTAGTGCTTCCTCATAAGTGAACGACAAAACACTAGAACAACTTCCTCATTTCCCCCAAATTGTAAAACCCTAACTCCCCTAAATCCCCAGCCGCCGCCGTTGAGTTCACCGGTGCACAGTCCCGCTGTCCTGCAAGCGACTCTTCATCAAGTGCTCCGACCTCCGTGGCACCGTGCTCAGGTCAGTGAATTTTTAAGGTTTTGCACTCAGAATTTCGACTCTAAATCTCTAATTATTTGCGACGCAAAATGGATAATAACGATGTTTATCTTGAATTTCGCCGCTTTGTTCCTATCCTGATTTAATGTTTCATATAGAATTCATTTTTTAGTGTTGATTATACGGGGTAACAATGTGCATTGTATATGTTTGATAAAATGCTTATGAGAAATTTAAATGGCATAATAATGGTTATGTAGGACTGCTGGAACATATCATGTATTAAGTTGGATGCTTTACTTTGACTAATGTCTAATCAAATGATTTAAATTTTAATAGGTTGGGTTTTATAATTCAAGAATAAATGAAAATTACCTTGTAATTTATTTGTAATCCATAATTTGAACTTATGTACCGAATATTTAATTATTATATTATTATTCCTTTGTTAATTACGATTCCAACTTCCGAAGTTTCGAACCCACACTTCGGAAATCCTGGAAACGCCACTGCTTAGTATAATGATATTATCATACTAGATGTAAGCCCGTGCGATGCACGGTTCTTATAACATATTGATCTTTACCATTATTTTTCGCTATTTTTTGGATAAAATTATTTTAAAAAAAAAACAATTGGTATGTTAATATTAATAAAATCATACATGACAACATAATAAAACTCGGTTTTTATTTTCAAGATTTTATACTTCGTGTAAGAATCTTAATCGTCATAATTAAAAGAAGATATAATCATGAAATAAAATTAATATTATATACACATTCGAAATTAAAAAATGTACTCCATATATACATATAAGAACGATGCGGGTCATAGTTCTAATTATCTTTCAAGAAATATAAAGGCTATCTAAATGGACAATCAATATAAATTAAAGATCAAATTAAATCATGATAATAATGAGGAAGATGAAGTGTGTAGAATATTCTTTATTTATATATTTTATTTTTTTTAATTTCATTTTGATTTTTATGTCTCCAAAAATGAAAAGATAAGGAGTTGGTTTTTTTTTTGCTTTTTTTTTTTTGTGGGGGGGATAAGGAGTTTTCAGTATAGATATAGATTCGTTTATTTTTCTTATGTGACAAATGAATTTTTTTTTATTATAAAAGAAATTGCAAATCTCTTTTTATTATGATAAAATATCTAATAAAAAAGACAATATTTTTTTTAAAATATATTTAAACTATCAATTTTTGGAACTATTTTTATTATATTTTTTCTAACCAACTTTTATTTTTTATTTATTTTTTATAAATCATACCAACATATCAAATAAAAGACGTAAGGCATACATAAGTTATAATATTGTAGGATTTATAACATATTGTAGTTCCATATTAAGTCGTATAGTATATAACATATTGTAGCTTCCATATAAAATATTTTGTTTAAGTTGTGTTATTTTTATATTATAAAATAAATTTGATATATGATCTATGAATGAAATAATTATATAACTATAGCAATAACATTTTTATCTTTTATACGAAACCATGATAAAGATTATATTGAAATAGGTAATGACAAATGATATACTTAAATATTAAAAAACTTAAAAGAGCAGACAAATATATCATATAGAATTTATATCTAATATAATTATGAGATAAATGAATTTAAACTCTCAAATTTCATTCGTTAATTTTGCTTAGGTGGAAAATGATTTTTTTAATTCTAAAATAAAATAGAAATCTAATTTTTAATTAGTCGGAGTAATACCCTTACTTATGTGGTGTTCCGAATGCTCTCCAAAAATGCCTATATATATATATATATATATGCGATTAAGTAAGGAGAAAAGATAGGAACAGTTGGTTCAAACGAAAACCCTAGCTAGGCCCAACCCGTCCATGTGATCACCTCTCCATTGCAACTCACAAGTACAAAGTATAAAAAGAAAGAAACCCTAGCTAGGCTCAAAATAGTCGTGTTCTTCTCTTATCCCACTCTGCTAATCTCTAATCTAATCGAGCTAATTCAGGTAATTTAGTGTCTTTCTAAACTTCAAATCAATCTTATTGCTTTCTAATTTCCTGTAATTTATGAATTTTGTTTTTCTATGTAATTTGTTAATATTTAATTATTATATTTTTATTCCTTTGTTAATTACGATTCCAAATTTCTGAAGTTTCGAACCCACACTTCGGAAATCCTGAAGACGCCACTGCTTAGTATAATGATATTATCATATTAAGTAAGGAGAAAAGATAGGAACAATGCGGTTCAAACGAAAACCCTAGCGCAGCTAGTCCCAACCCGTCCATGTGATCACCTCTCCATTGCAACTCACAAGTACAAAGTATAAAAAGAAAGAAACCCTAGATAGGCTCAAAATAGTCGTGCTCTTCTCTTATCTCACTCTGCTAATCTCTAATCTAATCGAGTTAATTCAGGTAATTTAGTGTCTTTTTAAACTTCAAATCAATCTTATTGCTTTCTAATTTCCTTTTTGTTTTTCTATGTAATTTGTTAATATTTAATTATTATATTTTTATTCCTTTGTTAATTACGATTCCAAACTTCTGAAGTTTCGAACCCACACTTCGGAAATCCTGAAGACGCCACTGCTTAGTATAATGATATTATCATATTAAGTAAGGAGAAAAGATAGGAACAATACGGTTCAAACGAAAACCCTAGCGCAGCTAGTCCCAACCCGTCCATGTGATCACCTCTCCATTGCAACTCACAAGTACAAAGTATAAAAAGAAAGAAACCCTAGCTAGGCTCAAAATAGTCGTGCTCTTCTCTTATCTCACTCTGCTAATCTCTAATCTAATCGAGTTAATTCAGGTAATTTAGTGTCTTTTTAAACTTCAAATCAATCTTATTGCTTTCTAATTTCCTGTAATTTATTACTTTTGTTTTTCTATGTAATTTATGAATATTTAATTATTATATTTTTATTTCTTTGTTAATTACAATTCCAAACTTTCGAAGTTCGAACCCACACTTCGGAAATCCTGGAGACACCACTGTTTAGTATAATGATATTATCATATTAAGTAAGGAGAAAAGGTAGGAATAGTACGGTTCAAACGAAAACCCTAGCTAGGCCCAACCCGTCCACGTGATCACCTCTCCATTGCAACTCAAAGTAAAGAGTATAAAAGAAAGAAACCCTGGCTAGGCTCATAACAATAGTCGTGCTCTACTGCTCTTCTGATCTCTCTTATCACAATCTGCTAATCTCTAATCTCTAATCTAATCGAGTTAATTTAGGTATTTCAAATCAATCTTATTACTCTAATTTCCTGTAATTTATGAGTTTTGTTTTTCTAGTACCAGTACTTGCCCTATATAATAGGGCTTCGTCCATAATCTTATTACTTCAAATTGGTATTATTATTGATTGATTGATTGATACATAGATATGTTTGTTACTTTAGGAAGTTGGATATGGATACTGAGAAATTGATACAAAAATACCGACATGTTTCAAGGGAAGAAATAGAGGGGATAAGAAAAACAAATGATCACGAGGGGTTGAGTGATTCCATTGTCGAGTCTACCGTAGACATCCTTGATAGCTTGAGAGAGTATGAAAGGATAAACGGAAAAGAATCTGTTCTGGTTGGTCTTCTAATTCATCTGTTGTCTGTCAAGTTTCTACCTAATAGCTTGCAAGATACACCCCCCACCATCTCTGGTAGGATATACACTGAGTTTGGTGATTTTGAAGTTGTTGGATTAGATGGCAAATACTTTTTGAAACTTAGCGACCGACAATCATCTTGGCCTTTGACGTGTATGCCTTATCATTGTACCCGTTTTGTGGTTGATCTTGCTATGGGGGGGAGGACTTTAGGAAAGAGATACATTTCCTGTGAAGAGGATACAACTGATTTTGAACAAGTCGACGAGAAAGTTGTTGTTACTGAGATTGGCGATTTCAGTTTGCGCTACATTGCCATGCCGTTTGCTATTTATGCTCGTGTGCGAGTGACCTTTCATCACAAGCAAGATTGTAAGTTAGAGGGTGCAAATCACAGTTTCCTTGACATCAAGGGAAAAATCATTGCAAGTTATGGCGGCAACACTTGCAATTCAGAAGCCTGTATTCTCTTTGATAAAGAATCTGATGACTTTGAACGACTTAATTTTGAGAAACAAGTATATCCTCTAGAAAGTGTTAACATGAATTTGTCTCGGTGTTGGGTTGGTTTACCGGCATATTCATCGATTATTCTTATGTAAATCTAATGGAGCTCGGATCGGAACACAAACTTGTTAAAGAAATCTTGGAATTTCAAGTTGGAAACAAATATTTTTCATATAAAACCTTTATTGTTGGTGACATCCTCATCGAAGTTGGTGTGGTATGAATTCACCAATGCAAAATGACAAGGAGCGTGCTATGATGTCTGAGGATGAGGTACTTTAAAGATTTGGTCGTTTTGTTGTCTAACACAAATTTTGTTGTCTATTTTTCCTTCTACTATGACTAACCTGTATCATATTCATGTCTCAACAAGTCTTCTGAGGAGCATATGTGTGCACAAGGGACAAGTGAAGACGATAGAGATGATGAGCAAATGATTGAGGTCTAATAATGTTTCTCTCAAACAACATTAATATCTTTAGATTATTGCTTCCAATTCTCTATTTTTGCACGGATCTAATACTATTCTCTCTTTTCTTGTGTAGTCTGGTGTAGCCGAAGCATCATCAAAACTCATGCGCCCTAGGTATGCATTCTGTTTTATATTTATTTTTAAGAGATATACTTCCTCCGTGACAAAATAGATGTTACACTTTGATAATAAATTTGAGAGAAATTTTGTATTAAAGTGTAACATCTATTTCGTTACGGGGGAAGAATTAGATATACATGCATGTTTAAGCATACTGTTACTATTAGTTTGGTCATTGTATTATACAATCTGTTTTTTTCCCCAGCTAATTATTTAATAAAAAGAGTTTTAATAAAGATTATGAAAAAATGCATTATGTTTTTTTAACGTGTAGTTGATATGTAGATCATGAGGTTGTCAATCTTGAATAAATATGTGGATTTCAGGCTTGGAGTACATTGAAGTATGCTGTTTCCAAGTTCTATGGTTGAAATATATGCTGTCTACATTGGTCGTGACAAGCTCAAAGCTTTGCAGCTCTATGGATCAATTGAAGTCTCAACTCTTGGTAATGCATATTACTGTTTTAATAGAGAAGCAAGTGATGCTTTTGGATTGTTAGAGGGGAGCAAAAATTTACCTTTGCTTGATGGATCTCTGGAGTATGATGATTGTGACTCATTTAAAATGAAAATTGATCTCAAAGATGTCGAAGGTCTTTTGTGCATTAGAGGTTACGTAAATTGGGATGATAGGACCCTTGAATATGGCACGCGATGGTTTAATAAACCTCTATGCTCATTCGTTGAAGGTCAACATGGTTTTGCTGCCATATGTTACTCATTTTTTCCACAAGCAGTGAAAGCAAATCTAATGGTTTTGTGTGCACCGAAACAGAAAATTAGCAGTGAGAGTTTTGAAGGCTTTCCAAGAGTTTACGGTAGTATTACTGCTCAGCACGGCTACTTTGACTACACTAGCCGCTACAACAAAGATTATTTTCGAGTTACACTGTTTGAGAGGAGTGCAGAGAATGCAATGCAAACAAGTGCCGATGGTGTGATCTCGCTTTCAAGATCAATAGTTGTTGTTCCATTGGACTCGACACTTGTGGTTGGATTAGATTTGTCTATCTGTGTCGGAGATAATCAAGTCTCGTTCAACTCTTCAGCAGATCTTAAGGTTGGCGCAAGTAACTTCAGTGTGGAAAGTGAAAGCAATGACTATTCGGTTCATATAAATGTAAAATGGCTAGACTAGGAGTAGTAGTTTAATGGTCAGTCTTATTACTAGTTTAATTTAAGTTATGTGGATGTAAAATCAGTAGAAGTGTGACTCTAATATCAAAACCTAAAATACCCTCATTTTGCTGTGCTTAGGCAACACTGCAAAAGATTGTAGCATTTCTGTAATGCATGGGATTAATTTCATCGACTTTTTATCTATTCCGTATTTGTTTTTCAAGTTGATATCACATATTGACTAACTGTCTATCTCACTACCTAAATGCTTCTCCGTGGATTTATGGACTGTATCCTCCCTGCCAGTAACTTGTAACTGGCATGGAAGCACAGGAGATCTGATGCATACTATGTTGTGTATGTGAGTCCAATAAGAATAGCATGCTTATATTGTTTATGCAGGAGTGTATTCTTCAGAATAGATACTGTTGCTGTATCTTTTCATCTGTAACTGAGTTAAGGTTGCTGATACTTGATAAGGCTTCAGACAACCACTGCAGGTACTAACCCCTTCTGTGAGCACTTTGTTCTGTTTTTTTGCATTGCTTGAATAGGATCTGTATAGTTTCGCTGCTAACTCACAATTACAAACAGGTGCAAGTTGGCTGGATTTATTTCCTTGGTGATAAATAATCAAGTTTGCTTAGCCAAGTATTTGTAAATGTCCTGGAGAACTTTGGAAAGGGCATATTAAGTGTTGCTGTTGTGTTCTTGCAAATTTTTAGAAATTTGAAATATACATTTTGAGCTTTAAAGATCACACTAGAAGTTTGTTCAAGAGCAGCTAAAGGTTACAAGCTCATCATTACCATGGTGGCATCAATGAATCACGAGGGAAGGACCATTCTTGAGGTTTTTGGTGCTGAGCTTGTCCTTATTGATCCAGTAAAAGGCATGAAAGGGGCTTTTCAAAAGGCTGAGGAGATCCGTGACAAGACTCCTAATTCATATATTCTACAACAGTTCAAAAACCCTGCCAACCCCAAGGTAATTTTATTGGTATTTTTTTGTGCATAGATTCGATAAATGTAGTCTTAATTTATTTGAACAACTGGACTCAACAATGGAGGAGGAGGTCGACGAAACTGAATTTCAATCTCAGGTTTTCATTAATCGCTTCAATTTCAACATTTACTAGCTATTTAATTGATTAATTAATGTAGTATATAATGCAAATTTGCGATTAGAATTTCATGCACTAATTGAATTGCTAATTTTCTGCATTCATTGGCTGTAATTGTCTAATTGACAATAATATGCGTCGAATTTTTTTCGTCGTGTTCTTTGGGAAAAAGAAGGAGTTTAGCTGATATTTTTCTTTTTGATCAATCGAAAGTAGCTGATATTTTTCTTTTTGATCAAGCGATTGAAATACAATGCAGTTCTTTGATTAATACGCAAATTTAATTTGACGTACGAAGCGCCGACCTAAATTTGTGTTAAATTCGTATGTTTTTGGCCTAATTTCTAGTTGTGTGTTATGATTAGGCGTTTATTTGGATTAAATGATAATGCGGCGAAGTAATATGATGGAAGTTAAATATATAGGAACATTTAGGTCAGGTTTGGTTAGATGTTTTGTCGAAAATTAGGTTTAAGGATGAAGGTAAGAGAAATTGAGGATGGAGGCTGGTTGGCGTTGTTGGGAGGAATTGAGGCTTTTATGGATTGTGAGTGTTATGAAGGAAAAGTGGAAGACAGAGTAAGATGAAGGTGTTCATTTCAGAAGCAGTTGCGTTTACGATGATGCCAAGTAAGCTGCAATATGAACTGTTTTGCACTTCCCAAAATAACAAGCCACATATAACTTTTGGGGTCATAAATTGATGACTTTGGCCGTTAATTTCTCAAACAGTATGTAGATTTATGTTCCAAAGATGCTCAGGCTTGATTTATGTCGAAAATACTTTCATTGGAAAATGACTTGTATTCATAGTTTTTGATCCACAAAAGGTATTGTAGCCTATTATTTTGTGATGGAGGGTGTTTAACAATTTTTACACTGCTTTATTTTTAGTAACCACAAAAAGCCTTGCAAATCTTTGTTCTAAAATAAAGCAGTTATGTAACTTAGGATTCGAAAAGAACTTAAAGAACATGAGGCTGGCTTGAAAAGGCAATGAACTAATTTAGATTTGTCTTAGGGAGCTGTACATTTAGTCTTATGATTCTATTCGAATGTGTTATGTATTGACTCGGATCAATTTGATATGCAGGTCTACATGGCATGTGTCATGCATGGGCATAGGTACCTTTTTATTTATTTATATATTTATTTATTTTTACCAATGTGTCATTCGCTAAAACTATTGGAGGTTAGATATGTGGCATTTTGTAGAGGGAAATGCTAAAAAAAAGTATATATATAATCCCTGGTCCAATGAGATTCCAAGTATCTTATATAGCTAGATAACTTTGTGTGTTTTTCCAGGATACTTGCTGTGCAAATTTGATAAAAAAATTTGATGAGAGCACTCTACAGATGCTTGAAGATCTTGAATTTGCTGTAAGACTAGTGGATCTCATTTGAAAATCTTCCTACAAAGAATAAGCAAAAGTGCTTTAGCGACTGAGGTGTCAGCTCTAATGTAGTTTTCTGATGGTGAAATTGAGCCAAAAAGGTTTTTCTATCGCACCTCAAAAACACGGGAGTTGGACAACCTTCTTGGGGACATATATCATGGTGTACTTTCCATTATACTATATTTCATGGTGTAGTCTACTGGTGGCTTGAATTACATTTGATGAGATAGAGAGGGTTAAAATCCTCATTTATTGTGTGAAATATACACTTGCAAATGTTCCCTGGGATTTTATATATGTTTTCTTTGTTAATTGTGTTAGACATGGAGAGGGTGATGACAAGGGACCTGATATCACATGTTCTCTTATTCTCTACATTTGCAGAAAGCTATGAACTTTGCTGCAGAACTTGACTGGTAGATCACATCAAGCTTTAAGGTTGAATTTTGTCATTTCTGTGGTCTAGTTCACTGGCGCTTATTCTTACATCAAGTTCTTGTTTTCATATGTTAGCTATTTGTCTTTGGCATTGGTTGCTCAACAAAACAACTATGTAAGGCCAAATTTGACTGTTGATGCCATACTGAATATACAAAATAGAAGGTTACTAACTTACTGCTGCTTCTTATGATCTTGATATTGAAAAATTTATTCTTTATATAAGTATTCTTACCAAACACTGTATGATTAAATAACTTCTTCTCCAGACATGTTTTGCAGGAAATGACAGTGGACACATTTATCCCAAATGACACCAAAATACTTGATGAAGGTACAAGTATTCAAATGTCACCAAGCTTTCTTGTCAAATTTCCTAGCTGATACTCAGCTGAACTGAATCAGAATTGTTATCTCATTGGTCATCATTTTGGATTGTGACTCAAATTGTGCTTTATATTTTCCCAGGAAAAATTAATATTATAACTGGCCCAAACTATTCTGGGAAAAGCATCTATGTAAAACAGGTCTGCTATGTTTCTTTAAACTTATGACTATTATATCATTCTTTGAAAACCTATTTAGTCTTTGAATAGCTTGGGGTAAGACTGCATACCATTTGACCTCCCTAAATCTAACCTTGAGGGAATTTATATAAGGTTCTTGTTGCTATAATTGTTTTTATTAGCCCTTTCCCCGATTAAATCTTTATTAAGTCTTAGATGTTAAATTCAAAAATCCTAATGAAGATGCACATCTTAAAAAAATTGCATTTTTAAAAAGTGACAAAAGGGCCAAAAGCTGTACATATGTAAAGTTCCAGTATTGTGTTTTCCCGAGTCAAACAGACAACCACTTAACATGTAGGTTTCTTTTGTATAACTTTGTTGAATACTGCCATTTTATGGGAAAGGTATGGACAAAGGTCATAACTCATCTGAATTTCAATTTATTAATTTTTATTCTAAGGTCACCGTAGTGAAGAAATTGTTGAGACTGGTAAATCCACCTTGCTCCGAATCAAGAGTTCTTAGACTACAATGCAAGCTTTGCAAAGTAGGACCTAAAAGGCTTGGTTTTGTGAGCTCCAGTTGTGAGGTTTTGACCTTCTCAATTGTGCAAAATAGTTGTCTCATATGTGTTTTCTCTTCCTTTCTCACATTGGGAGTTTTGTACCTGCGGATGCTGCTGTGGTAGGATTAACTGATAGATATGTTTATGATGGTCACATGCCTTTTATGTCATGGTAGCTTGTTTTCATAGTTGTAATAGCTTGCATATACTCTTTGACAGGATATTTTGTGCAATGGGAAGCAAGCTCATGGCTGCTGAACAGTCTACATTTATGATTGATCTACAGCAAGTAGGCATGATGTTGAGGTATATAGTAGTGAGAAATTGCTGATAGTAATGTCTTGTGCTTGCTAATATAATCATTTTTTTCTTAGATAATGCTAGTCAATCTATTGGTCTATTGGTCATCATATCTATATGAAAATTGAAGCTTTGAGAGAAGTATTTTTCTTAATATGTAACATGAAATATCTGGTAAATATGAAACTTCTTTGCTTCATCGTGAAAACAAGTTCATTAGTGTACTTTGGAATTTTGATCCTTTATAGCAATATAAAGAGATTAATATAAACTTTGATAGGCAAGCTACATCACGTTCTTTATGCCTCTTGGATGAATTTGGTAAAGGCACACTTACAGAAGGTGAATATTTATAAAATCTTTTAGATTAGTATCTCTTTTCTCTACCAGATATTATGCTTCAGATGTAATTGATGCTTTGTTGCATACTTTCTACTCCATTCAATTGATAATGCTTCTTTCTTCTTGTGTCTGTTTCAGATGGCGTTGGTCTTCTTGGTGGAACTGTTAACTATCTTGCTGGTAGTGATGATACTCCAAAGGTTAGAGGCTGAACTATCTAGCCTGAGTTTTGAGTCCCACTGTTAACGAGCTACGGGATTGAAGAAAGGAGGTTACAGACTGAGTGACATCAATAACCTGTTTACTGTTGATCATTTGAACAAATTTTGAGACATGTGTTACTGACCTTACCGTCTTTACGTCTCTATGATAGAATTATCTGACTAACTATATGCACTGATTCAACTATGAATTTTTATTCCATATGTGCTTGTAAAAGTTCATGATAATTTTTTCTGTATTTCTGTACATTTACAAGAAACTCTTGATGTTCGAAGCTGCCTTTTTGGTATAAATTCAACAATCATCAATGAAACCTCCAGCCTGTAAATATTGCCCAAAATTGTACTGCCACTTGTTAAAGTAACCTTCATTTCTTGATTGATGAAGCTGGCTTTTTGGTATGCTAAGAGAATGTTGACAGGAGTTTGAGTTTCAGCTCGTGACACTGACTTTGAATTGCAGGTTTTTGTTTGCACTCACTTGACTGAAATATTTCAAAAGAACTTGCTGCCGAAGGTTCTCTTTGCCAATCTCTTAGTAAATCTGGATCATGGATTTTTGGCAACCCTAACATAATAATGATACTTATTTGAACTTCGTGCAGTCCGAAAAAATCAACTTCTATAATACTATGAGTGTGCTGAGACCTGAAATGATACAACTTCTATAATACACATATGCCCCTTTGAAATGATGTTAATTGCATTTAAGTTTTTCCTTGTGTGATTTAATGATTAACTTTTATGAATACCGTTTAGACAAATTATATCTTTTAAAATGTGTGTGTACTTATTTGCCAACATTAATATTATTTTTTTTTTTTTTTTGAACTCTTGAAAATAGTGTGCTAACATTTATACCCCTAAAAATATTTATTTACATATTTTTCCCTTATTAATGTTGTTAACAACTTAAATAACTCTCTAAGCATGACTAGTTATAGCACGCACCTTAATCACCCTAGTAATAATAAAAGCGTTGGATTGTTTATTAAATTTTCCTTATACTAGTGATATAGAAATATTCGATTATAGAAAACTATAGGAGATTATGTTTGGAGGACCTGCATGTACACGACATGTATGGTGTGGTGTTGCCTACTTTGATGTATTGGGAGAATGGGAGGTGATTAAAGTACTTGAGTATACTATATATAAAAAATAAAAATAAAAAATACTCCCTCAATTATTTGTCAATTCATGCTTGCTGATATATAATTTTGGACATTAATATTTTTAATTACGGAGTATTTTTTTGTAAAGATTGGACATTATAAAAATATTTTGTCCAATTTTTAATATTTGTATAACTTTGACTTATTCATTATTTACATATCATCTTTAAATTATTTTATTTGCAATTATAAAATGAATCAATTTTTTATGTAATATATTATGGGATTAGTTTCAAAGTCTGATTTCATAATTTTATTTTATTTTTTTAGTTTTTACTAATGGACGATTAAAGATATTAATAGTCAAAGTTATGTCTCGGCAAATGTGTCGGTCAATGTGATGCAATTAAAAAAATAGAGATAATATATATATATACTAACATAACTATTAAAAAAATATCAATTGAAATTTTTATATGAGGACAAAAGGTAAAGTAATTAAATTAGGTAAAAATTGTATTTTATCACCAACAAATAAACCATTTTTGAAATTACCACCCATTCAAAGATTTATTTAAAAATTCTCCTTAAAAAGACAAATTAAATAAAAAATATTTTACCACTACTTAACATTTGCAGTTAAGAAAACGTTAAATCTATCATTTTAAAAAAATTCTCGATTTTCGTGTCAAAAACATTTTTTTTGAGATTTTTGGGGTCTTTTTTGCCCTATATGTCCGATTTGAGGTCAAAATTTATAAAAAAAATTAGAAATCCCTCGCTTTTGTGACTCGCAAAATAATACGTAAATAAACATTTTCAAAAGTATAATGGTTTAAACTTTATTTATAAGAGTTATCTCAAACCTTTTAGGGAGCGTTTGGTTCGCGGAATACAAGTATGAGGTATGGGTTTAGAATGAGTAAAACCCCGTACTATATGTTTGGTTATCAAAAAATATAGGGTGGTAGGGATTAATATGCAAGTATTAAAGAAGAATAGAGTATTAATGACACGATCTATACCTGAAAATGCAAAAGAAAAAACTACTCACGCCCAGTGGGACTCGAACCCACAATCGCTTGATTAGAAGTCAAGCGCCTTATCCATTAGGCCATGGGCGCTCTGCTTGTTTTACTTTTGTCTATTTAAACTATAAATAATCTAAGGGACTGACGTTGCATTTCGGTAATTATCTTTCTCAATATCCACTTTGAGTTCTTTTTTGACGAGTTCTTATTACTAACTACAACTATTTAAGAGTTTGGGTCTATAATCTCAGTAGTAATTTTCAAAATAAATTACAAAGACAAATTTCAAAGTGAGATAAGACCTGAGTTTATAATTAGAAGGAAATGCCCTATTACATTTGCATTGTTACCTCCATTTCTATTCAGATTCCGATGTCAAATCTTCTAATATTTCTTCCATTACAGAACTCGGGTCTAGTACCGTCTAAATTTTACATGTACTTAATCTTATAAATAAGTAAAACAAAAACATATATAATCAATATTGTGGATTTTTTTTTAAGTTATCAATATTTTGGATTGATCACAGTCGTATATTTTTTCTTACTCAATTTTCATTAAATTTTCTTTAAAAAAAACAAAGCAACTATAGAAATTAAGGGCCGAAGTTTTGCATCAACACTAGTCAGTTAATATATTGCACTTGTTGTAAAATAAAGGTAATTTAACTTCATTACCTACAACAAAACTACAAAAGTGCGAAGTGATTATAAAAAATTTGCAGTCACAACCCATAGGGACATTATACACTTTGTTTTCGTCTATATTGCCCACCTGGGGGAATAATGTTGGCTTCAAGGTTCTCGAATTCAACATCAGACAGTCACAAAAGCACAAAGATAGACAAAACATTGATCTGTGCCATTTACCAAAAAATGGGAGTCATGGCATATCCATGACTATGGGTCACATTGTTCAGATAACTTTATGATATAACATCATATCGACTAGAATCAAAATTTGTAAACTGGCTTCGCAAAGATTATCCTATCCCATTAACGAGTTCCAGCACCCCTGTGGAAGACACTTTTAACAAATAAGAAGCTATTTTGAAGGGCAGTATCAGGCTTAGTCCTCCAACTCGATGATCTTGACCACGGATGCATCACCAAGTTTCTGGCAAATGACAACTCGATCATGCGATTTGACGATTCCCAAAGCCTTTCCGTGATCTAGTGCAACCTTCAAGATGGTTTCATTTGTCGCACTCGTGGACTCAGCCTGCATAATAAGAATTGAAATAACCCAATCACAAAAAAATATTCTTTTCCAATACTGAATTTATGGTGCAATATTCATTTAGTAATTCAATCACAATTTTACTTGGCAAGAAATAGGAGCCATAAAATTAAAGCAAACTTTCTACAATCTAATACAGTACACCTTCTAACAAACACAACATGGGAAAGTGGCTAGAGTGAATGAAAGTTTAATTAGATTAACAGCAATGGAAATTAAAAATTGGAAGTAGAAGGTAATATTAGGTGAATTAAGTTTATGAAAAAAAAGAGTAAATAATGCAAGATAAGAAATTGACTTACGGGATGTCTAGGATCCGCAAGCATGGGGAAGAGGCCTCTAACTATCAATGACTGCCTTGCCTGACAATTTATTGAAAAAAGATACAAAAAGTGCGTCAGCAAAGTAGCCCAACATCTTGGAAAGTAAACTACGAATGCAGATAAATAGAAACTAGAAAATTTATAGAATAGAGCAGAAATTAAAAAAAAATATATATATATAAAGACATGTTAAGGGACATCATATCCCAGCATCGACAAGACACCGTATGTTGGGCAATGCACCATTCGACTGAACCAAAACATACATTGTAGCTGAAGTGAAAAATTAAACGATTTTCAGCTTGATATTATATACTACCAGCTTTTCCTTATCATCTATCACATACTGATTAAAAAAATTTAGCATATGTTGATAATATCAAGACAGGTTTAATCGTAGATGAGAAACAGATTATGACAATGATACTCAAAAAGAATTTTCAGAACCGTTAAAAGCATTTCCTTCAGTGGACAACATGGTTGCTCTCCATCCCAAAAAGTTGTAATGATTATGGTTTTAGTGGCACATAACATTATTTAATTTACATAACAATAGTCAAAGTTGCATTGAAGTTGTAACATAACAGAACTTCAATTATACAAGTGTTGTCAATAAATACAATACAGTTGAGTGATTTGGCCTAATTGACTTTTTTTTTTTTTTTCCTTTTTTTTGTGAAGCAAACCAACTTTTTGGGATGAAAAGTATACCGTAGTAAAAATAGGATTACCAAATCGCATGCCCTGAAAAACATGCCCAAGTCAATATCTATTATCAACCGACTTGAACACAACAAGATTCCAGCCTGCTTACCTCAAAGGCACCACTAAAGCTCCACTTTAGTTGATTTGTCTTAAGACGAGGAATCACAACTGAGAGAATTGGCATCGGTGGCCGATATTTTGCAAGCAACCTGCAAACAACCATTAACATGACCATGAGTACTACCGTTTAACAGATACTGCTTAAATTTTCCAGAAGTACCATCACAACAATTCACTCGCCAAGTCATCAGGGCCTTCAGGGGCACAAACATTACCTTTATCCAGTATACAAAGACACAAAGTATAGCCAGTTTTCAACAATATCTTATTTGCCTATATAATGTTTGTGAGTGGAGAGAGGCTCGGTGAGGATTTAACATAAACATAATGCTCAGATTCTAGTTTAAAATGTACCTTGCAGCCCTCCCAGAAGAAGTGAAACAGATGATCACAGATGCCTTTACCTTCAAGGCAGCACGCACCTACAACAGAGGACATGCTAATTTCAGATATCATAATATATACTTCCTCCGTTCTATTAATATTGCAACAAGGATGAAATTACACATCCCAAAGCACATTTTATATGCTAAATATCTATAATTGTGTAAGAGTAAAAATTATAAAAAGTTGATATAGGGAAGTATTTCATGAGACGGATCCAACAAGATCCCACGTGACTATATTTTGCTTAACGTATAAATCATATTATATGGTCAAACAAGAGTGATGAATAGTGCAAAAAGTCCATTGTTGCAATATTAATAGAACGGAGGAAGAATTAACATACATATACACATACACATGTATATAAAACGTAATATTTCTTCAAAAAAAAATGTAATATTTTAGATGGGACTTACAGCAGAAGAACCGATAGATTCCAGGTGAGACATTGGCTCTCCCACATACTTGACAGCTTTCTTGAAGTACTGATCTTGATTGAATACCTTTTCAGCCTGCATTATAATAAAGTAAGAGTCATTAATAAATAATTACATAAATAAAAAGGGAATAAACAGGCATGAAGACTATATTGAAAAGGATCATGCATGGTGACAAAGCCCCAGATATTCAGCTTACCTCAAAACAAATCCTATCAACTGTTCTAACAGTGTCAACAGGATATAAACCTCGGTGTGTCTCAGCTCCAAGGAGAATTGCATCACTACCTGAAATCATTAACATTCAACCAACAATCATGAGTTGTGCGTCATATATCTATAGTAGAGCACAATGCAAAAATGCCTTTTAGTGGGATGGATTGCATGTACACAGGGAACACAAATAAGGCATGTAGGAAACAGTTTGAGGACATTACAAATAAAGATGAATAAGAGAACAGCCAAGATAAAAACAACTAAATATTAACAGCTAGGAAAAAAGCATGGTTGACAGACCATCTAATACAGCATTCGCAACATCAGTTGCCTCAGCACGAGTCGGCCTGAGATTATTGGTCATGCTATCAACAACACGAGTAACAACAGCAGGCTTCCCAACCATATTGCATCTGTGTAAAGCAGCCTTTTGGAACAAGAAAACCTTCATGGAAAAATAGCAGAAAATTAGTTAAATAATAGAGAACAGTGCATATCCACCACAAACTGCTAGAGCATGTATGAACTAAAAATAGAAGACGAGAAGCAACTAAAGTGAGCGATGCAAAAATGGCAGACCTTCTGAGGAGGGAGATCTATGCCCAAATTTCCACGGGAAAGAATGATACCATCTGCTTCTTGTAGAATTTCATCAAAATGTGTCAAACCCTAGACATATAAAACATCACGTAATTCAATACTTTACAAATTAGACAAAATATTGAAAGGGAAATGAATAAAGAGGATTTTAGAAGCCAATTATTGTAGAGTGAAGAGCACTATGGCTCGTACCTCAACATTCTCAATCTTTGCAAATATCTGAGTCTGACTAAGATCACCTAAACTTGACAGCAGCTCACGTGCCTGAACAAAAACGAAAAGATACAATAAAATATATGAAAACATAGGAGCAGATTACTCAAAAAATAACCACATTGCACCACCTACTTGGCGAACATCTTCTGCATGACGAGTATATGACAGTGAAAGGAAGTCAATTTTGTTTTGGACACCCCAGGTGCTTATAACCTGAACAGCATTAAAGAGGTCAAAATATTGATCCAATAAGATTAAGAACACTGGAGATAAAAAGCCAAAAATCAATCAATAAAACCTGCAAACCAACAACACAGCACTGCATTCCCCCCGCCCCCAGCGGATAAATAATAAATTTTATATAATAACCCAAAGCCTGATTAATATCATATCAATTAAATTAATTCCTATTGTCAATTCGATGGGTTTAGTCTACCAAGATTCTAAAGCTACAACCTCCGAACCATATCATATAGGTGACCAACTTGCACACACATATTGCATTAACATTTAACAAGACAGCATATTACAAAACTCAGAATAAGATTGGCCACAAATGATTAATATCAATCAATAACATGCACCATCCATCTGAGAAAAACCACAAGACAACAACTAATCTGATAAAGTAGCGCTTGGATTGCTACTTCAGGAAATCTATTGTAAACATCAGTATCTACAGAAAATGCATATATCCATTACAATCTTTTTATACTTGTTCCTTGCATTATGATGTTCATCCAAACACTTCGAAGAAGAAAAAGATAAAAGATAAAATGAAAGTGAAACCTAACAAAAAACTATGCTGAATAATATCAAGTAATTCTCAACCCCACCAAGCTGATCTCTTGCATTATTACTTTTAACATTAACCACGATGCATGTCCACAATAACTTGAACCGTATCATCAATTTTGAAGATCACAGCATCGTGTCCCCAATCTAAAAATTTATCAGCCTCATATCAGGGAATGATTTTATAGATCACAGCATTGTGTCTCCAATCTAAAAATTCGTCAGCCTCATATCATATAATGATCTAAACTTATGCATACTCAAACTTAAATATATCGGCTCCATCATATAAACAAATTCATAAACTGCTAGAAGACTTTAACAACACATCAAGGAAATAAACATAATAAGAAATTTGTTATAAAAAAAATTGACTGCTGGCAAAATCTTGGAAGAAGTTTTAACATAAGTGGCTATCCTAGAAAAACACCCACCACCATCTTCCTCCATATTCTAGAATCACTCTACATGGAGAAGGGGGAAAAAACTCAAAGAGAAAACAGATGGGTGAGGGTATAGATATTGTTATAAAACTTAAGTAATCAACAGGTTCATGATTAAAAATAATAATAAAAATGAAATTAAAAAAAAAATAAAAAAAAAGTAAAGATAAAAAAAATGAATTAACAGAAAGATTACAGACCTCTTTGTCCTTCTCAGACAGAGTAGGCATATCTATACGAACTTGTGAAGCATGCAAAGTGAAAAGTGTTCCATCCAATGTTGCGGAATTGTTGATCACACAGATCACATCATCCCCTTTCACCTCAGATACCTACTCAAAAATGCAGACCATTTGTAAGTCGGATGTAAAAAAAAAAACTTAATAGCAATTTAAACAATTGGCAGTAAAAATTTATCAAACTGACGACTTAAAGTTGCAATTCCATAGTTTTTTAATCAGAAACCCTTATGCATGAAATAAATAGAGCACCCAGGGGAAAAAATCTCATATATATAAGCCAAAACAAACACAAAAAAATTACAGTGAGTTAGTTAACAAGCTTATTCTCACCTCCAGCCAAACAGATGTAGTTTCACTTCCAGTGAACAAATATTTACCCATAAAGATCATATCTCCCTTCTTCACAGCCTGTAAAACATTTAATATGCACTTAGTATAACAAATTATAAATCAAATATGCTTAAATGTTCCTTAAACATACAACCAAAGCATAAAATACTTAATACAGTGTCAGCTTTTAGGTAAATTAAGGAAAATAATAGTCTGTCATAAAATCTATAAGTATGTAATGAATTACCCAGTCTAAAATACAGACATGGGTATAAAAGCCTCCTAATTGGTGAAAATAATTAGATACAAATTTTCACTATATAGTGATCCATATACTAACAGATGTTATTGAAAAACTTTGGAACCTTCCAAATTCTAACCATTTTCAGAACCAAGAAATATGGATGGAGGCAAAAGACCAGAACCATGTTACCAGTTCCCTGAAAAAATACAATCACTCCGCCTATAACAAGGTTAAAATGAATTACTAACCTTTGCAAGTCCATTGAAATTGATGGGCAATAGATCTGAGGAGGCATCTTTTTCCAGGTCAGGTGTGAGAGTAACAAATTCATTTTCTTTGAGTGAGATTTCTTTCCCAGTCTTATTAACAACTTGCAACTCAGGCCCAACTGTGTCGAGCATGACCTAGATAAAAAAAAGATGTTTTCATGTGTATCACTTGTTGCTGAAGAATTAAATTGTGACAAAAAATAATGTTTGAAAACATATCACCAAGGCGTGGTATTTATATTCAAACTATCAAAACGCTGTTGTGCTCAAATAGAACATAAATCTTCAACCACCCAATAACCATTCTACAGATTACAAAACTAAACCAAACCAAATGTAAGAGATAAATTTACATACTGTGTACTTATTGTAAACTACTTCAAACGTAAGTGAATATCGAAAGCATCTAAATTTTAATTCAGCAACCAATTATAGCGCAAATAAATACCACAGAATTCTATTTCACTTTCAGGAAAAATATTATTTAGGCTCTACATCAAAAAAGATAGTTACTTCATATTGGCAAAACCATTAGGCAACCAGAAAGGCAAAAACTTTCAATTGCAACATAGTTTCTGAATATCATGATTTTATACGGAATACAAAAAGAACATCACAATTCCCAAATTATATCAACAAAAATCCAAAAATTTTGATCAACATCAACGTAAATTTACACACAGATCCATAATATCTTCAGGATATCTTCAAAACACAAAAAACAAAGATCCGTAATATTTTGAGGTTTTTTTCCGTTAAATTAACATCCTCACCAATATTGTACTCTCCACTTAAGTACCAACTGCAGTGCAACAACCTAACTTTTAATTGAATAAGACAGTTTATAATCATTTTCGGGGCGAAAAACCGGCTTCTAGTTATCAGCTTGATGAAAATGCAAAAGTGCATCCTATATAATTATAAACTCACACACCCAAAATCAGATTTTTAACTCACATCATACTAATTGCACATGTAGCACACAAAGCTACTAAAAAATCATCCAAATAACAAAAATCGTAATCGCGATAATCGAAAGTAACATACAGCGCAGAGCTTCTTAGTACTCTTGACAGCAGCCTTCAAATTCTCAAGAGTTTGGCGATGAGTATCAGCGTCTCCCCATGAAAAATCAAATCTAGCAACTACATCAAGCCAAAACCCCCAAAAACACTGTAAACATTCAAAAATTCGAAGAAATGAATCAAAATCGCGGAAAATAATCGAAAAAATGCGCAGAAAAATCACCTGACATCCCAGCTTTCAGCAAACTGGAAATAACTTCAACGGATTCAGAACGAGGACCAAGAGTTCCAACGATCTTCGTCATTGCAGGAAAGAACGACTGCAAAAATAGATCAAAATTAGAGATTCAGATGAACAAATGGAAATCCGAAAATTCAACTAAATTGATTTTAGATTGAGGAGAAACTTACAGATTTAGATGGCTCGAGAATTGAAGCCATACGAATTGGTTCTTCGAGGAGCAAATTAGTGGAAGGCATGATTGACTGATTGGTTTGATTAGATTTGATTGGTTTGAGCAGTTGAAGAAGAACTCTTCAATGGAGGAGAGAGAAAGTGAAGGAGGAGAGAGAGAAAAAAGGCGAGGGTTTGCGTGACGTTTGACAGCACAAAGGGAAGGGTGGAGGTAAAATGGAGAGATATTTGATTCCCTGCTGCTCAAGAAATATCCCTTTTTTTTTTTTGTAATTCAACGGGCCGGTTTTAATGAGTTGAAAATATTGAATTTAATAAACCTACTAGAATTTGGAGATGGGAATATTTTGTGATTTTTGTGTGTACAAGTGAAAAAAAAAGTGACCACTTAGGTTTTGTGGGGCACTCGGTGCAACCCACCACCCCCCTACCTACACGTCAATGAGCACGCTCCTCGCGACTCGCGAGTACTTACTACTGAGTAGTACTCTTATTGTTGTAGATCTAGTAAAATTAACTCGTATCTGATTACTTAACTTAAATCAATCGATTAAGTTTATTTTGTACCTCATATTTGTTATTGTATGATGTGTTGGTGACCCAAATTGAAATCCATTAAATCAATGGCTATTGGCTAATGTTTATGTGAGGCTACTGTTAAAATTATGGTCATATCTGGCAAATGATTTTTTGATTGACTTTAGTCTTTTACAAGTAAAGAAATTATTGTAAACATGTTTGGTTCTCTCTTATTGATTGGTTGAAAACTAGTTTCAAAGCTATATAATCCACTACTTTATACCTTAACAATGATACAAGATTAAAGAGGTTGTTTTACCATTATTTAATATTATCTTCTTACGTTGTACTTCGTATAATATTAGTTGAAATATCATTTATATTTAAACTATTTACAAATTAGACAATCTTTACTTTTGAAGATTCTAATATTTAAATCTCGATTTTAATAACTATGTTACCATAAAAATTGTTAAAATTACCCTCATATTGACCATTTTTTAATAAAAATGAACGAAACTCAGCCTTATACAAGACTTATTGTTTGTATAACTATCAAGCATGCTTGTAACAACGAATTTTAATTGATTTTTGGCACACTTAAATCAGAGAGTTTTGTGACTTAGTTGATTATTATACGTAGTAAATTAAACCTTTGATTTAGGACACATTAATATTAGCGTTTTTTACTCCTTATCTACGCATTTGTTGGTCTTTAAAGATTAAATATAATGGAAAATGATATATAAGGTTGAATACAAGGAGTAAAATGAAAAAATAAAAGATGAAATAAAACATTAATTACACTGATCGACGTTTGATCATGTCATGCATTTCAAATTTGATATCAACTTAGAGAAGATACTAAATGTTTGTTTTTAACGTAATATCTTGTACACATAAATTAATTTAGTAGTACAAAATTGATGCTTGGTACTAAAAATAAATACTCCCTTCATCAATACTTAGTCAACAGCAACACGATTAGATTAGCACCGAATTTCTGACGGACTAAAATTAAAATTTTATTGTATGAAAGGTAGTTGTGCAGTAATTTTTTTTTTTACGTGATTAATGGATTGTGGATTTGTGGGGACTATTAATTATGTTGGTGGGATTAAGGGGGTGATTTTTTATACAAATGTTTTCATACAAGTTGGGAAAAAAGCTCATGTGAGAGAAATAATACAAAGTACAAAATTTGATAGGACCATTTATCTCTTTAGGAAAATAATGTGTATACGGAAAAGTGTGCCAACTAAATAGGGTTATCGGGGGGAATCAATATGAAAAATATGTCAACTAAATAAGAACGACGCTAATAGTTTTACAAGGGAAAAAAAACTATATAGGAGGCTTAGAACGGTAGAAGTAAATTAACCTCCTTGAATAAAAAAGACACTTATTACCATATTAGCTACAAACAATTCATGTTCTATCAATCTACATAAATGTATAAATACATATTAGAATGTATCATAAAAGTGAAAATAATCCCAAATTATTTAATGTTGTCATGGTATTTGTTGAGTCCCTTAGGTTTTGATTGATAGTTTTGAATGATGACAAACAGCTAAGGGAAACAGGTCCTTGAAAGTGTTTGATACAGTTAGGGGAACCAGCTAACATAGAACACTGTTTCCCCAGACAAGTTATTACTTACATGAGTTTTCTTATTGAACTAACTTGTCTTTATACAGGGAACAGTTATATGATAAAAGTGTTATGTACTGGTAGGGAACCAGTATGTACTGTTTCCATGGTTGCTACGTGGTACAGCAGTCACTTACTTTATGTTGTGCATTAACCATGTTACATGTGCAGTAGTTGAGTTGATTCCAAGACTTGGAGCATAGAAGCCTTTCGAAGATATTTCGAAGAAAGATTGTTTGCTCATAATAGAAGTATTCAAGGAAGATTCAAGTCTTGAAGATTACATGAAGAAAAGACGATTTATGCTTTAATATGTTATCTAGGTTTTCATGTAATATGCTCCGTAGTATGCTTGCATGTTTGGGTTATATAAGTGCTTAAAAGTATATTGAAGTATGATATGAAATCTGGTACAGAGTTGGAACAGGTTTCATAACATGTTTCAATTCAGGGAACCAGGTCGGGGAACCAGGTTCACTGTACGAAATATTCGAGCTGCTGTTTTGGAAAAAGATTTTACAAAAAGATTTTTTCGAAAAGATTATTTTGAAAATATTTTGTGCAGCTGGAAATAAGATGAAATATTCTTGGTTACCTAAAAACTAGGAGTATTTATCTTAATTGATTCTATCTTTGTGATTAAATCAAATAAGATAAAAACTTTCCTAAAATTACATTATATCTTATTCTCTAAGATTGTGTGATTTAAGGAAACTAGGTTTTAGGAATCTAAGCTTATATAAACTCATCTTATTTCACATATTTCGTGTGCCTCTCCAGAAATTAAAAGAGCAATTATTTGAGAGCATATACTTAAGCACTAATCCCATTCATCAAGTCATATACAAGAGCATTCTAGTACTTAAACTTTTTCTCTTAATTAGCTTCGTAGAAGTGAGATCAAAGGGGAGTTCTTGATTCTTGTATTGAGTCTTTAACAAAGGGGTTAAAGGCTGGGTGAGTGTTTGTGAGTTCAAACACATTGGGCTTACGAGTGTAAGTCGAGAGCACACTCGGAGTAGAGTGTGGGGTTTGCTGGTTCCCGGAGTAGGGAAACAGCAGAGTGTTCTTTGTCTTTGTTTTTCGGAGTAGATTAATAAAGAACTTAGGATAGGAGGACGTAGGCCTGAGTTGGCTGAACCTCGTTAAATTTGTTGTGTTCTTTATTGCTTTGTTTTATTTCGTTAAATTTGTTGTCTTCTTTATTGCTTATTTATATTCCGCTGCGTACGGGAACCAGCACAACTGGTTCCTCACACATAATCCGAAAAGAAGCAAAATTAGCCAACGATTACTTAACACTCAATTCACCCCCCCCCCCTCTTGAGTGCCCATTGAACCTTCAATTGGTATCAGAGCCTAAGCTTCTCGAAAGAGTAACATCTAGAGGAGTTAAGAATGAGTACTCAAGAATTAAGTGCAATCGGTTATGACAACAAGTCACCCAAGTTTAATGGAAATAATTATGCTTGGTGGAAGAACAGGATCCAGAATGTTATCATGGGTATTGATTATGAATGCTGGCTCGTAGTTAAAAATGGTCCTAATATCATTCTCAAGACAGATGTTGAGGGGAACCAGGTTCCCAAGAAAGATAGCGAATTGGTCACTGCTGATTACAAGTTGCTGGAGAAGAATGCTAAGGCAATGTCAATACTACAACAAGAAATAGGTGAGACCGAAACAAATCGTATTTCTGGCTGTAGTAGTGCTAAAGAAATATGGGATACTCTTGAACTTGCGTTTGAGGGAACCAGTGAGGTAAAACGGTCTAAAATTGATTTAATCATGTCTAAATACGAATTGTTTGCCATGAATAAAAATGAAAAAATCAATGATTGCTTTCGTAGGTTTATGACTATTGTAAATGATCTTAGATCTCTTGGTAAAAATTTATCTGACGAGGATCTTGTGAGAAAATTATTGCGTAGTTTAACAGATGCATGGACAGCCAAGGTAACAGCAGTATACGAAGCAAAGGATCTGTCTACCTTGTCTCTGGAACAGCTGATTGGTTCCCTTATGACTCATGAGATGCTGATTGACTCTAAGTCTGAGAAGGAACCAGCAAGAGGCATGGCGCTTAAGGGAACAGTAGAAGATGATGAAGATGAAATTAGCATGATTGCAAAACGATTTGAGAGATCTCTTCGAGATCAAAGAAAGAATTTCAAAGGTAAGCATTTTAAAAACTATAAAAAATCTAACTCTAATTCTTCTTCTACAGGATGTTTCAAGTGTGGAGAAAAAGGACATCTTATTCGAGATTGTCCTAAGTGGAATGACAAACAGTCTAAATCCGGAGATAAACAAGCATACAAGAATGCCATGATAGCTTCCATGTGGGGAGACTCTGACTCAGGGTCAGATGAAGAAGAAGGATCACCCAACTCAGATGTTTGCCTAACTGCCTTTACAAACATCAAGGAAAACAGCACTGGTCCAGGAACCAGAGGGGGAACCAGTACATTCAACAAATGCTTTATGGCAAAGAAGGATGTACTACATGAACGCAAGGTAAGCTTAGAGCAAATTAGAGAAGATATGCATGAATATGATAGAGAAAATATGCTTGCTTGTATTGATTCCTTACTAGATGAATGCTATAAACTAAGTGAAACATACATAACTTGCAAAAGAGAATTAAAAGAAAAACGTGGTGAATGTAATATTGCTATTGCTAGTTGTGATCATCTAGAAGGAGTCTGTTATGAACTAAAAAATCAAGTAGCAGAACTAGAGGTTGAATTGGACAAGTGTAAAGTGGAACTAGAAAAGGAAAGATCGTTTGAACCAATTGATGGTGAAGAGGATCTGACCTCCTGGTTCCCTAGAGACTTATCAACCACTAGTGATACTCTTGATTTTTCAGTAGCTATAAGTAAAGCAAATTCGTGTACTAGAACTTCCTTGTTGAAGGCCTTTGAAACATTGGCTTACAACCTGGAAAACTCTCACAAGGAAATTGCTTCACTTAAAGCTGCACAGTTCACTGTTTCCCCTACAGGTACCAGTGTAGATGTCAGTAATACGATTGATAAGTATGAAAGTAATATTTGTGATTTGCATGCGGAAATCAATCAACTGAAAAAGGACAAGCAACCAGTGGTTGT